TTATAGATAATTACAGAATCATTTGGGCAGCAAATGTGATAAAAAAAACTCGCATAAAGTACAGGCATATGCTGCACTGCAATCGGGTTTCAGTAAAAGGAAAATTAGGAACCCAATTTACAAATGCAAAAAAAGTTCTGAAATATTTGTTAAATTCATATTTAGATTAGAATAGAATATCATTTATTTTAGAATAGATTAGATGAATAAAACTTTTTTTTTAATGTTGCTTTTTTTTGCTAGCTTAAAGTAGTGGTCCTTTAATGAGGAGGCCTCCACGTGGCAAGGACTGGAAACAGCTTACACTCATTATTGTTAGTAGGCTGGCTGACATCCTCATGCAATATGTTGAATTTTAGGAACAACTATAAATGTAAGTAGTTTCTATAGACATGAAATACTGGGATACATTTGACCCGAGGATGAATTGCTGCATAGATCAAACACCAGACTGATAAATTGCAGTTGAGAAAGGAAATAAATTAGCTGGTTTTTCATGCTGTTGGTCAAAATAGAATGAAACGACACCAAAATGGTATACTCTTTACTTTGAATTTCAGGTAATATTTTCAATAGTAGATATTTCTGCTTCAGGAATCATGGTTTTATTTCAGGAATTACATCCTTTACTAACAATCAATACACACAGCATTCATCATACATATTTCGATAGGTACATTAAGTTTCAACAAGAGGCCCATATGACCTGTATCACTCACCTGGATATATATATATGCCTACAGGTTGGATACTTGAATTATATATATTATATATTAATCTATTCAACTTATTGTAGGATTAGTATTGGGAAGTAGGACACTGTAGCTAAGTCATGGTTCTGTAGTAGATCAATTAAATAGGCTAATTATTATTGGTGATAGGCGAGGAGTGCAGTAGCTCAGAGTTTGTAGAGCATGTGGTGTAAATTATACTATCAGGCGGAACGGGAGTAGCTTCCTTGATAATCAAACTTATGCAATTGCCCATTCGGACAGTGACCACTAGGTGTTAGAGTAATTATCAAGGGCTATTTCCAGTAACAACCTAAGTAGGGGGAATCTCAACCTCGCACCTCTCGAGCGTGGATGGTTATACTTCCAACAATCATATCAGCTTGCAACAAGTGAAGTCTATATCAAGGGAGAGCGGGACAGAATCGGTAGATGTTATACATAGATAGGGTCAACCTTCTGGTATATATTATACATAGATAGGGTCCATCTTCTGGTACATATTATACATAGATAGGAATCCACGTCCTGGCACATCTTACACATAGGGGTCCACTCCCTGGTATATATACATAATAGTCCATCCCTTGGTACATAATTATAGAAAGGTGTCTGTCACCAGGAACACATTATGGATAGATGTCTACCCCCAGGTACATATTATGGATAGGTGTCTACCCCCAGGTATATATTATGGATAGATGTCTACCCCCAGGTACATATTATGGATAGGTGTCTGCCTCCAGGTACATATTATAGATAGGTGTCTGCCTCCAGGTACACATTATGGATAGGTGTTTGCCTCCAGGTACATATTATAGATGCTAGGTGTCTGCCTCCAGGTACGTAATATAGATAGGTGTCTGCCCCTAGACACATATTATGGATAGATGTCTGCCTCCAGGTACACATTATGGATAGGTGTCTGCCCACAGGTACACATTATAGATGCTAGGTGTCTGCCTCCAGGTATATATTATAGATGCTAGGTGTCTGCCTCCAGGTATACATTATAGATAGATGTCTGCCCCTAGGTACATATTATAGATAGGTGTCTGCCTCCAGGTACATATTATAGATAGGTGTCTGCCCACAGGTACACATTATAGATAGGTGTCTGCCCCTAGGTACACATTATAGATGCTAGGTGTCTGCCTCCAGGTACGTAATATAGATAGGTGTCTGCCCACAGGTACACATTATAGATGCTAGGTGTCTGCCTCCAGGTACACATTATAGATGCTAGGTGTCTGCCTCCAGGTACATATTATAGATAGGTGTCTGCCTACAGGTACACATTATAGAATTATTGAAGCACCCTTTGTACATATCATAGACCAGAGTCAATTCCGTGATACGTTATGCATGTATTCTACTTTGGTGTCTTGGTGCTTGAGGGATAGCGCCTGAAAAATAAACATACAGCACAATTCTGTGATGTGCAGGTTTGATGACGATTATGTGAATGTTTCCTGGTCCTCACCATGTGCAATATGTAGCTGGATGTGCTTAAAGCTTGTTAGTATGTCTGGTGGTCCCAATGTGTAAGAAGACAGTTGCCCATCTGTAACAACTGTACTTTGGTCTCCATGTAAATTTTTCATTTGTCCATATTCTGTTAGTGTTTCATTGATGTAAGTTTGTAAATATTCCTTTGAGCCGTTTTTTGAGGTGAATGTTTGAGTATTGCGGTAAACCACATGATCTGTTGTATATCATTTATCTCGGTCAATTTTGTCGTTTCTTACGCCACCTCATAGAGTTGGCACTTTTGGACCCAAACATCACTGCTACAGAGTCCTGGCTAGACATAGCAGCTGTGTGCTGCAACACTATCCATTTTCATTGGTATTAAGTCTTAAATTAGCAAGTACATAGCAAAGACTGAAATCAAATTATAGAAATATAAAATAGTTTGTTGGCAAATATTTTATAACATTATGAAGTAAAAATGACCAAACTAAAAATAAAAAAAATACAGGTCAAAGAGAAATTTTGAATATATAACTGATGGCTGTTTACTATGATACATGAAAGCATTTTACTTTGACAAAAATTAAATGAAATGTTGTAATTGCTTGAATTAAGGTCAAGGTGTTTTGAAGAGTTTACTCATAATGATACTCATCATGACACTATGATGCAAAAATGAACTAGAATGAAATGAGTTGACTGACTAGAGGTCAAGGTCCTCGATCGTTTATTGATACTTCTAGTGGTAGATATGCACTAAATACATTAAAAAGCACAGTGGACCTGGATCAAAAGTGCCTGATCAAAATTCAAAGTCAACAGGTTCAAAGCGAAGGTCACATTTTCTATCTCTAACATCTATAATAACATATATCATATCTATAACATTATGAAGCAAAGTTGATGAATCAGAAGTCACTTAATTAAAGGACAAGGTCATAATGTTAAAGGACAAGGTCATAATGTTGAAGGCCAAGGTCAAATATTGAATATTTTTTACTAATAAACACTTTATGACATGTAAAAGATGTCAATGTTAACATTCTTTTTCTTTAAGTGGTAAATAATTCTGTCCCAGTATTATTTAGATTAATCAAAGATGATTTTAATCAAATAAAGAGTTGCCAGGCAACGTGAGGATGTTAAAGACAATAAAAATCACCAAGTAAGGCACATTTAATCACACGAAGAATCACTACCTAGACCACACAACAATCAATAAACATGTATCAAATGTGCAATAAAATGTGCATATAACTTATAAAATACACTTTGTATTTTGCGCATGTAATTCTAATTCTGTTGAACCTTCCTGATAAGCCCATGCTTCAGTGTAACCTTCCTGTTAAGCCCATGCTTCAGTGTAACCTTCCTGTTAAGCCCATGCTTCAGTGTAACCTTCCTGTTAAGCCCAGGTTTCAGTGTAACCTTCCTGTTAAGCCCAGGTTTCAGTGTAACCTTCCTGTTAAGCCCATGCTTCAGTGTAACCTTCCTGATAAGCCCAGGTTTCAGTGTAACCTTCCTGTTAAGCCCAGGTTTCAGTGTAACCTTCCTGTTTAGCCCAGATTGCAGTGTAACCTTCCTGTTAAGCCCAGGTTTCAGTGTAATTTTCCTATTATTAAGCCCAGATTGCAGTGTAACCTTCCTGTTAAGCCAAGGTTTCAGTGTAACCATCCTGTTAAGCCAAGGTTTCAGTGTAACCATCCTGTTAAGCCAAGGTTTCAGTGTAACCATCCTGTTAAGCCCAGGTTTCAGTGTAATTTTCCTATTATTAAGCCCAGATTGCAGTGTAACCTTCCTGTTAAGCCAAGGTTTCAGTGTAACCATCCTGTTAAGCCAAGGTTTCAGTGTAACTTTCCTTTTATTAAGCCCAGGTTTCAGTGTAATTTTTAAGCCTTTCATGTATCTGTTAAGCCCAGGTTTCAGTGTAATTTTCCTATTATTAAGCCCAGATTGCAGTGTAACCTTCCTGTTAAGCCAAGGTTTCAGTGTAACCATCCTGTTAAGCCAAGGTTTCAGTGTAACTTTCCTTTTATTAAGCCCAGGTTTCAGTGTAGCCTTCCTATTAAGCCAAGGTTTCAGTGTAACCATCCTGTTAAGCCTAGGTTTAGAGCCAAGAGTTATTGCAAGGCCTGTTTCTGATATGTTAGGACTATAGGTAAGTTGGTTTGTAACACGGGGAAAGTCAGTTACTCTGTATCAATGTCTAACAACAGATATCTTGATTTGGATTACAATTTTCTGATGTAATTTTCAGTGAACTCAATAGAACACTCACAAGACATTGATATTGATTTGGTTGATGATATGAAGAAAATATCAGTCGTTAATTTCATTTTATTTTACAAATATGAACACATACATGTACAATGATCAAAAAATAACATACATTCATATCGGATTGATAACAAACCATGGTTAGGATATGAGTACCAGTCGCTGTGAATTTCTGCCTGGTCACAACAATAACCCGCACCCAATGTACAGATGGGGGAGTGGAGGGGGTTATCATTTATGTGGTAGTAATTACAACACCCAACTACTTCCAGTATCCAGTTTACATTCTGTTGTATTTGGTATAGGTGTTTTGGCCATCAACTTTTCAAAGATAATACATATTGAAGATTAATAAAAGTGTATTATCAGCTGATGGAAAGGGAGATGTACGGGTGGCATTAAATGTCCACCTTTACATAAGTAAGGATGTGGTTACTGTGTTGAATGACAGAACACATTGATGGCACTGTGATGAAAATATGATGAATGAGCAGTAGTAAAGAAAATGAAATGTCATCATTATGCTGCACTGTCTTTCAGAGTTTCATCTGGATCTGTCTTTGGTGTAGAAAATTCAGAGAAGTGAAGAGGATTGGAAAAACCTGCAGCTCCATCATTTGTGTCCTGAAGAAAGGAAACTTAAAATGTAATTGTCAATCACGTTGTAGTTATCTTATTTCATTGTCAACAGAAATCAAATAAAATATAGTTCAAGTCAGCTAACGATTCCACAATTTTACTTATTGTAACCAGATAATAATTATGTCATTCATACATATTTCTTGATCGTGTCTGTTAAAATTCAATTACATGTGTGATGCAAAACCAATACCCGGGATAGTGTGTGACTGCCGCAATTGTGAGAAAATATCTTTACTATTACGATATGAAGCATTTTATTCTAAACCCTATAAAAACAGGTGAAAATTTGTCAAATTTGATCTGACTGTTTTGTAACTCTGATCTCTAATCTGTCCTATCAAAAACAATACATGTTTTTTTTTTCACTTATCAGAGTAGAATAAAATGACGGATAATAAAACTGTCACTTTTCAACCAAGATCTTTCTATTTTATCACACTACCATGATCCATATCATCCTTCTACCATTACCAGGATAAATTCATATCACTCGTCTACCATTATATATCACAACCATTCCTCTACCACGACATGTCCCAACCATTCCTCTACCACCATATATCCCAAAGATATATCTACCACAATATATCCCAACCTTTCCTCTACCACGATATGTCCCAAACATTCCTCTACCACGGTATACCCCAACCTTTCCTCTACCACGATATGTCCCAAACCTTCCTCTACCACGATATGTCCCAAACCTTCCTCTACCATTATATATCCCAACCATTCCTCAACCACGATATATCCCAAACATTCCTCTACCACGATATGTCCCAAACATTCCTTTACCACGATATAGTCTCTACCACACATGGGAGATGGAGCACACATATTATAAAACATATGTAGTTTTTTTATATTCACCTCTTTGACCTCTGGAGAGAAAGCTGTTTTGGCAACACCGCCTGTTCCATGTATAAACTGTCCAGTATATCTTTTGCGCATCAACAGAAACACCGCTGTTACAGCAATTAAGGCCATGATAATCAAACCTAACACAATGCCAGCCATTGACCCTTTACTCAGGTATATAGCGGAGCCTACAAAGAATATGTGAAAGTGATATAACATGTCAATACTGAGGAACAGAGGATACACTCGCATTCTGATATTGTCGAGTGATCACAAGCAGTTTTATAATGTCTTATCTATAGTAACCTAGATTCCAGCTCTTGATCGATATCAATGACAGCAGAGCAATGTCAAACAAGAGACGGAACCAATGTATGCTCCCTGAATACATGCAAGTTCCAAAAGGGTTAATTTTGAAAAAATTTAAGTATGAAAAATACTATGGGCAAAAACTCCTAAATCATACAAAAGAGAGTTATGGTTCTTGTATACTGCAAACTACTCCTAAGAGATCTATCTACTTATGAAGTTTCATGCTGATACCTCTTATAGTTTTTGTGATATGCTCCAGACAAAATTATGATGGACAGATGGATGGACAAACAGATGTAAGGGCAAATTGACAGACGGGCAGGGAGCATAAAAATAATGTATAACTGCTAAATTGACACGAGGAGTACCGGTAGAGTTACTGCTTGTAGGTGGAAGCAATACTAGACAAAAATATGATATCTCTCTGAAGAGAAACAATTCTGATTCACAGTAACATGAACATTATCAGACATACGTCGATAAGAGTGGGAACAAAGAGTTTCCGTGGTAAACAGCATGTGAAAAATTCAACTTACGATCATTGATTTTACTTCTAAATAGATTTTTGCATCAAAGTACATTCAGTTCAATGGGCAGACATTAAAACTCTTTTCAATACCAATTAAACTTGTAGGTACTATCTTTGCCATGCAGATAAAAGCTGCATATTGATAAAACAGGTCAATATATTCACAAAGTAGATATTAAGAAATCAAAGTGACCAGAGTTTGATGATAACACTGACAACAGAAAAAAAGGATTCCTTGTTAAAATGTTCATTCCCTGTAAATTTTCAAATACTAAATTATGGACAACTGTGAACGTAAACTAGATTAAAGCTATTTCAATGAGTTAACCACACTTAAGTACACTTAAACACACTATCAAACATTTTATTGATTCAAAATAAAATCAAAGTCACAAGAAATTGGTGATTATGGATGTTAACTTAGCTGGAAAAGTATATAATATAATACCTGATGATTTGGTGGAGGTATGGGCGGAAACAGAGCCAGACAACTGAGTTCCTTTCGCCAGTGAACAATCGGTACCATGGAAACCATCAACACACAAACACAACCCCTGTAAATAAATAGATTCCAACTAAAACTGTCACCCTGATGATAAGTAAAACCCTCCAACCAAATTCCATCCCCATCCCACTGAGTTAATACTTACAATGTTTTAATTACCATGTACTATAAAAGCTATTGGGCATTACATCAGTATATTTAATCTTTAATTTGGTTACCATGGCAACCGAATCACATCAGATATTTTGGAAAACGGTACCATTGTAATTATCATTCTTTAAAAATCATTACCTATCATTTTTCAGAATCATCAGACAAATAATTTGTATCTCAATTTTGCTCCTCGAATTCCCTTTCATCTGACCCTGCAGAATAAGGTCACTTTGCACCATTGTTGCAGCTATCGTAAATGTGCATGTGAACACAAACAGAGCAGCTGCTAGCTAGTTTCTTTCTTCACCAGGCAACAAAACATATAGTCCATAATATGCTTCAATCATCACAATATGCTAATTTTGAAATTTTGCTTCCATTTTCAATGAATAGAAATGAGAATTTTATAATGAACAACTTTGTAAAGTGTTATCATGCAGCATTGACAACACTTCCAAGTTCGTAATTCAGTCACATCTCATGCAAGTCTCATGAAGTTGTGGGAATTGATAATAGTTGACATAACTATGATTTGGGGAATATCAGAGGTTTTTTGTCAGATCTTGTATTTCTTAACTTTTTACATAATACAGATATTTTGTGTACAATAGACATATACAGGCTGCAGGTTACAAAACGATGCACCGCTGCATCTTTTCTCCCAGAATCAAAGAACGCAACCCATTTTTTCCATCTGAGATTACCAGTTTCCTTGAGACGGAGCAAGGTCTTACTGTAAATATACAGTTATGACGTAAACACAACCAAGATTTCAGTCCTTTTATCAATGAAACACACTTATATCGTAAACATGAAGTTAAAAGTTTGAACTTCACGACATACAATCCAGTCAGATATCAACTTTCTGTCCCAATTTTGAGATTAAATTTTCGAAGCTCAGACATCAATTTTCAGAATAATACCTATCTACTTTGAAAGAGATGCCCAAACATCCAGTCCAAGGACTACATTTGTTAAGTAACAAAGGTGTGCAACACAAGTATCCATATCAACAAGGCAAAAACCGCAGCAACACTTGATTGTAAGCTTAACAGCCTGGAACTGTAAATCACTCACCTTCTTGTTACAGACGCCTCCATTTAAACATGCACCCGGGAGACAATTACACGTGCCAGTAGTAGAGAAACATGTTGATGAACAGGAGGTAGGACACTGCATGGTACAACCACTGCCCCATAATCCTGGTGTACAAGCTGTGTGGAGGAACCATACAAATATTTAGGCAATGGAAATAAAAGAGTAGACATACTTTAATTGTTGACATAGTGTTTTGTTTGAATGCCATCACTGGACTTGTGATAGTACTGTCAGAAAAGTAAGGAAAGTATTGGTATAGAAAGCACCACACTTAAAATGTAAATTATGCTTCACCTATTAATCAGCATATTAAGACTGTTGTTGAATGAGAAGTAACATTCATGCTGAGAAAGGTGTGATTACTTACTCTCATTACACAATGGACCAGTATATCCTGAAGCACATGAGCATTGGCCGGTGACACTATCACAAGATCCGTCGTTCTGGCACGGCGGACATGTCTGCGCACAGTTGACACCAAACTGACCCTCAGGACAAGCTAGAAAATTCAACACGATACTTTGCAAATGCACACATTTAGGTAACAGGTATGAATGATATAACTGCATCATGATGACAAGCAAAGCTGACAATACTTACCTTAATCTAAACATATCCATATTCAGAAAATTTCATGTGACTGCATTTGTGATACCATATTCCTGAAAAAGCTTGGCTGATAATACCCGAGTTTCTCTTCATATATTCCTTACCAGTCAGGCAGACAATATTCAGGTTTGTCACAATGTATCCTACACCAGTCAGGCTGACAATATTCAGGTTTGTCACAATGTATCCTACACCAGTCAGGCTGACAATATTCAGGTTTGTCACAATGTATCCTACACCAGTCAGGCTGACAATATTCAGGTTTGTCACAATGTATCCTACACCAGTCAGGCTGACAATATTCAGGTTTGTCACAATGTATCCTACACCAGTCAGGCTGACAATATTCAGGTTTGTCACAATGTATCCTACACCAGTCAGACAGACAATATTCAGGTTTGTCACAATGTATCCTACACCAGTCAGGCTGACAATATTCAGGTTTGTCACGATGTATCCTACACCAGTCAGGCTGACAATATTCAGGTTTGTCACGATGTATCCTACACCAGTCAGGCTGACAATATTCAGGTTTGTCACAATGTATCCTACACCAGTCAGACAGACAATATTCAGGTTTGTCACAATGTATCCTACACCAGTCAGACTGACAATATTCAGGTTTGTCACAATGTATCCTACACCAGTCAGGCTGACAATATTCAGGTTTGACACAATGTATCATGTCATACAGTCAGACTGACAATACTTACGTTTATCACACCTTATTCCTGACCATCCAGGCTGGCAAAGGCAATCTCCATTCACAGGATTACATACACCTTCATTCTGGCAAACACATGGCTGAGCGCAGTCGAAACCAAAGTGTGTAGACTCACAAACTGAAGAAAAAAATCAAATCAAGATCCAACTGAAATTCAACACCCAAAACACAAAGGTTAAAGGAAAACCCAACATGTTTTATACAAAGTGTAAACAAAAGAAAGTTTTGTTTCCATAACACCATTCCAAATCAAAGAAATCACTCAAACGCTGTCTTGCTACCACAAAGTGAGGCATCCTGAATAGAGAGTACGAAAACTGTATAAAAAGATTGATCAATAGTACGAAAACTGTGTAAAAAGATTTATCAATACAAAGCAATAAATTTAACTGTGCCATCAACAAGTTTTTACTGACTTTCCATTTTATGACATCCAAAGGCATTGTTACCTCAGTTTTTTAATCCTAAAGAGCATTCATTAGTACCATGACAAGTTGGCAAAATTCCACCGACAATATATCTTCAATAGTTTCTTAACATTTGCAGAACTATATACATATGATTAGCAGCACCGTTTATAATGTACTTGATGTTTCTCCAGAAGATTCCAATGTCGAGAATTATTAAAATTCAATGATTGAGTGAGTGCACCCCCTCCTGTCTTTTTATAAAGCATTAATCTAGGCCGGTTTGAATTTCCCTTCCTTGCTTTCTAAGATTCCAAACTTAAGGCACTTTGTATCACTGACTTGTTCTAGAAAGCAAGCATTTGTATCATACAGTTTATCATATACCTATACAGTATTTCATACAATTCAGGGCTCTCACACCCCATGTTGGGACTGGGGCCCGGGGCCCTTAGAATTGGGAAAAATAGCGGCGTTTTCCTTAGAATTGGGAAAACTTGGGGTCTAAATTGGGAAAAAAAGATACTATTTTGCATTGGGCCGACTATTGGCCCCAAATCTGGCAGATCGATAGCCCTGCAATTGTTTATGTGTTGTTCTGGAAACTAAAAAAATCATATTGTTAAACCTTCCTTACAGTATATATTACAGAAGAATGTAACAAAATGGAATTTCTACTTCCAAGAGGGATATCATATAAAGAAAAAAAAACATCAAGAAAATACCAACATGGCAACATAATCATAATTCCAATTCCATAAAACTAGGGCAAAATATGAACACAACAAAGATTTACGAGAAGACACCTGAAAAAGTACAGGGAGAAGACCAGGTGTTCCGGAAGAGTGAGCAACTTCTGCTTCATTGACAATAGCTGTCATGTAAACTTTGGTCAATCCAAGTAAGTATTGTCACATTATATTCAATGTAAGAGTGTTCAGATGCATTTCTCCGGTCATAAACATACAATTAGTGGGTTACAGTGTGGTCAAATATTTTCAAGTAGTGATATCTATTACGAATGGGAACCGGCCAGACTTATAACCAGATAGACGGGATGTTATTTTAATTGTAAGTCTGTAGGAATAATTCCCTTGGCATCACAATGATTATATAAATTCATGGCCGTTAGGTATATATATAGTTTGTAAAGTATATCTTAAACTCAAGTACCTTTCCCAAAATAGGAATACCAGCAGTAACATCATTATCTTAAATAAAAAATCCCATATAATTTTGCCACCATATGAAGCACTTGTTCAGGTTATGTACCAATATCTATGATACAGTTTTTTTTCCAGAAAGGAAATTAGCTTTGAGTTCAGTCTCCCTCATATGTGTGAATTAAGTATTAATTAAGTCTTTTACACTAAATCATCATTTAAACTTTCCTTCTTCCCCCATGATTTATTATCAGATGAGTTTAGCTTTATGTGTATGTTTCCAAGCCTATACACATTAAAAGTTCAGAAAGTTGATCCTTTTAAGTTCATAACAATGAGTGGGTGAATTTTACAATGATGGCTACAAATGGAAGTATCATTATCTTTCGTAGTTTTCAATTACACTAATGCATATTTTCTAACACAAATGTCAATTTCACATGCAATATACATGAAACTAAATGGGAATCATGCAAACATTTTAATGCAAAAATGTTCACAGATAATAAATATTCAACACCTAGATGATTATTTGTCAAAGATATACACTTTAGTAAAAGGAATTGGTCTACTATGATACGATAATGTATGAATAATTAATCGGGGAGGACATGCCTGCTGTTACATTCAAATGTCTTTATGACGACAAAACTTTTTGATTTGACAATAAAACAGTTCCATTTGACAGGCACATAATTTTCCTGATGTAGAATGGTTTTGCATTATCAAATTGCTGAGAGCATGGAGCATCTAAATAAAGCAATAATGCAAGCAGTTATCAGAATATACCTTTATAATGTGTAAAAATAATCTATTCTCCAACTGGAAATTACCAGGAAATGGTATTTTATATATATACCATGACCGATATCACTGTAAACTTGGGTGAGACTAACATTTCAAAAAATGACCTTTAACTTTAACCTATCACTCATTTGCATGTTGAAACACTGGTTGATTGAAACTATCACAAAAATGAACAGTGACTAGAATATGTTCACGTCGCAGATGGATGATGTGTTATGTCAATGCCAGGTGGGCTAAACAATAGATCCTAGAGAGAAATTTGTAACAATTGTGCGATGTTTCTTTTCTTTGAAATTGGTTCCAAAATCAAATACAAACATCTTGAGATTAATGTGTGTGGATATCTTGAGATTAATGTGTGTGGACATCTTGAGATTAATGTGTGGACATCTTGAGATTAATGTGTGTGGACATCTTGGGATTAATGTGTGTGGACATCTTGGGATTAATGTGTGTGGACATCTTGAGATAAATGTGTGTGGACATCTTGAGATTAATGTGTGTGGACATCTTGGGATAAATGTGTGTGGACATCTTGAGATAAATGTGTGTGGACATCTTGAGATTAATGTGTGTGGACATCTTGTGTGTGATTAATGTGTGTGGACATCTTGAGATTAATGTGTGTGGACATCTTGAGTGTGGACATCTTGAATGTGTGTGGACATCTTGAGATTAATGTGTGTGGACATCTTGAGATTAATGTGTGTGGACATCTTGAGATTAATGTGTGTGGACATCTTGGGATAAATGTGTGTGGACATCTTGGGATAAATGTGTGTGGACATCTTGAGATTAATGTGTGTGGACATCTTGGGATAAATGTGTGTGGACATCTTGGGATAAATGTGTGTGGACATCTTGGGATAAATGTGTGTGGACATCTTGGGATAAATGTGTGTGGACATCTTGGGATAAATGTGTGTGGACATCTTGGGATTAATGTGTGTGGACATCTTGGGATAAATGTGTGTGGACATCTTGAGATTAATGTGTGTGGACATCTTGAGATTAATGTGTGTGGACATCTTGGGATAAATGTGTGTGGACATCTTGAGATTAATGTGTGTGGACATCTTGAGATTAATGTGTGTGGACATCTTGAGATTAATGTGTGTGGACATCTTGGGATAAACGAAAACTATATCCAGTAATTCTCACTGATTTAAAGAAATAAGATAAATTAGAACAAAGTCCATGAAGGCAGTCTGTTAGCCAGTATTTACAGAAAGTCAATTCCATATTTAAATGATGTTTTAGTCAGATTCAAAATAACAACCAGGGACAAATATCTGGAATGTAAGAATATCAATCAATTCAGAATTCTCAAGAAGTTGCAACAAGCTTTAACTGTTGAAATCCAAGATGGCTGTGTGTCTGTGTTAACCTACATGTTTATTTTATCATTGCACTATGATCCTCTTAACAGCACATTTACAAATCAATGAACCTTTAACAATTTTGATTGTTGTAATCAACAGTCACTAAGGACAGTAACTAGTGGTTCTACACTAGGGTAGCTTCTAGAAGTCCCTAGCATGGATTTCAAGATACGTACGATATAAAAACGAAACAGAAACAGTTCAAATTAGTACAGGTTGCATTGCCTCATGGACTTCTTATATCAATTTTTTTGGCTTCACTGTTTTAAGATTAAATTCTAACCATGCATATCATTTCAAAAGGTAACTTACTTAAATATGATCTTTGGAGAGACATGTCATAAATATTTCCAGCTTTATCAAAATCATCATTGCTATTTTTTTTTTTGGCAATAGGTTAAACACCACCATTGTGATGGCAGACATTGGTAAGTCAATGTTGGACTGAAATGTCTATAATATTTGAACCTCTTCTACACAAAATCCATGAAAATTCAATATTGCTGTAGAGATACACAAGTTAAATGAATTCACTATTTGAACTGATCGACTCCTGAAATCATTAATCCGCTTGAGGATAAATGTGGATGAATATTTTTTGGTTTATATTGTTTTTTTTTAAAGTATGTCAAATCCACTTTTGGTGCAATACTTTTCTTTAAAGTAAATTAGAATTAAAGCTGGTAAACCCCTGAGGAACCAGCATTCATGTTGACATTTGCTGCGTGCAGCAGGTTGGCTGCACAATCTTCTGATTTATTTCAGATTACCATAAATTTGTTTGAGAGCTCTTCTTATTGGAGGTTGAAAAGTACCTATATCCCATAGTTATCATGCATTATGAGTGGGCAAAACAGTCACTTTGCGGAATGAGAATCACACATAAATGTTAGAGTTAGTGTTCCTGTTCGAGCACTGAAGTGTACTGCCCATCAAGCCTATAAGATGCTGATTCCCAGCATCTAAAAAGAACATATAGCAGTCAGTTCAACTGCTAAAAATGAAACTGAACCTGAACCACACCCCCCTCCTACTCCCCTCCTTATGGATATTCAACTACAAAACTACATATCTATGGTCAAATATAAATAGATCGAATTGCATGATTTCATTCATACATTAAAAGACTGACCTAAGACAAGTGACTAATTCAACATAGATTTTCTCGGTCAGTGTGGTGACCTTTGACCTTGAAAAACTTACCTAACTCACACTGATGACCTTTCCTTCCCGGAGAACAAGAACATATCCCATTTCTAGGATCACAGGTTCCTCCATTGCAATTACAGGACTGCCCACAGTTCTTACCAAACGTGCTGGCTGGACAAGCTGAAACAAATGGCCTGAATGTCACTTCATCACAATAACAGAATGACTCTTTCTAAGTTATACAATTGTCACTCATGTGTCCCTGTCAGGGCCCTGAACTCCAGGTTTATATAAAATATTTTAGCAGATTGACACTTTTGATATGACCATATAATGATATACTGCCAATTTATCCGATGACAAGAACGCTTTCATCCCAATTTGTCGATGGATACAAAATACCTATCAATGATACTAGATTCAGTGTAATATCACTTACTTTGTAACACTGATTCATATATTGTGTTTGATAAAGTTCAAACTTTCTTAGTATTTTGCAATATAATAGGTTCATTATTCCTTAAGATGCTGTTTTCCCAAAAAGCACATCGTCTCAAACAAATGATTTTGTCTACACTTTGATTTACTGCTAATATACATTTGTTACTATTACTTTCATTAAGAGTTGTTCACCAAACCACTTCAGTCAGTAACCTACACGACCCTGGTGTCCAAACCACTTCAGTTAGTAACCTACACGACCCTGGTGTCCAAACCACTTCAGTCAGTAACCTACACGACCCTGGTGTCCAAACCACTTCAGTAACCTACACGACCCTGGTGTCCAAACCACTTCAGTCAGTAACCTACACGACCCTGGTGTCCAAACCACTTCAGTCAGTAACCTACACGACCCTGGTGTCCAAACCACTTCAGTCAGTAACATACACGACCCTTGTGTCCAAACCACTTCAGTCAGTAACCTACACGACCCTGGTGTCCAAACCACTTCAGTCAGTAACCTACACGACCCTGGTGTCCAAACCACTTCAGTCAGTAACCTACACGACCCTGGTGTCCAAACCACTTAAGACATGATATTTCTACATCAACCTACTAATCCTTCATTCGATACACCATAACCGGTGGCCAATGTGGATATTAGTGCAGGACATGCATGTTTTAATTTCAAAACACTTATTCATGCTGGACAAAATGTTACAAATGTACTTACAAAACTGACAGTTGGTACCACTGACATTGACTTATCAGTGTTTTACTGTACTTACAAAACTGACAGTTGGTACCACTGACATTGACTTATCTGTTTTACTGTACATTACAAAACTGACAGTTGGTACCACTGACGTTGACTTATCTGTGTTTTACTGTACTTACAAAACTGACAGTTGGTACCATTGAATCCTGGTAGACAGTCACATGCTCCAGTAAATGGATTGCAGTTGCCATGGTTACTGCACTCACAATTCATCTTGCAATCGAGACCCCACTGCCCTGGATTACACACTACAAAGCAAAGTTAAATGACTACATTAGAAAGATCGTAAAATCTTAAATTAGATCATAGAAAAATGTGTCTTTCACTGAGAAGAGGTCTGTCTTTCACTTTACAGGTAGACTCATATTCTTAAAAACTAAATTCTCATATTTAGATTTACAATCTACCATTGCTATAGGTTTTGAACTTGTTGATTGTTGTGACGTGCTCATTGTAGTCTATTTTTCATCAGAAATCATTTTGAAATTTTGCCAGGATTGATCTTGATTAAACTTGAAGTAGATCCTGATAAATCAACTGAGCATATTTTTTACAGCCCTTCACACCAGCATGCTACTTGTAAATATCAAGAACTTGTACTGTTCAGTTATTCAAAAGAGGTCATCAAAATATACAAGACATTTAACTCTTTAACTTTATAAGCAGTCAAAGTTATTCATTTAAGTAAACTTGGAGCATACTACATGCTACATGTCATGACATCTATTTTCCATTTCGATATTCAGAAGAACTCATTTGAAGATTTCAACATATTTTATCTTTTTGAACGGTGAAGAAGGCCAAGGTCATTCATCAACTTTAAAGCCCTTCACTAAAACTTGCCACTAACCATATGTCATGATCATTTTTGTTATTGACAATAAGTCTTCTAAAGAGAAAACATTACAATGAACACCACACAACCACATATGCTCACTTACTGGACGGGTAAGGCCATTTGAAGCCAATCCACTTACCTCTCTCACACATGTCGCCCGTGTAACCAAGACGACACTGACATGAACCATCAATTGGACTACATACAGTAAATCCATATGGATTACAACGACAGTGATTGGTACAATTTTGTCCATACATTCCATCTTTACAGCTTTCCCGACAGTAAACTAAATTTACAAAAAAAGGATTTTATTTGTTTCAATGATATGAACTAATATAACTACATATATTATCTCAATACTGAAGCATGACTTTGTTACAACAAGTTTGTTTATTAAGCAAATATTTCCTAAATTTTTAAATAACTTTTTTGAAGTCAGTTTATTGAAACTTTATTTTACTTTTCATTGCTTTAGCATTCAATTTTATGTTTTGTTAGCAGGCTTAAATCTTTCAATTAAGTACTGAAAAGACCTTGAGATGAAAAAACCAATTATCATGTAGATACAAATATCCTTTACAAATGCTGCTACACATTCTTATCAAATGTCTTTTAAACCATCTGTAAGCAGCCTTACCTCCTGCAAATCCAGGCTGACACTGGCATTGTCCAGAGACAGGATCACAGCCATTACTGTGGGGGCTACACTTACAGGCATTGGAACAGTTGTATCCCCATTTACCAGGAGGGCACTGCAAATAATGACAAGGGCCGTTAGAGACAGGTTATGCTCCCCAAATGGGATAAAATTTAAGTATCAAAAATAACAAAGGGCAATAACTCCTATATTATGCAAAAGAGAGTTATAGTTCTTTTTCATTGCACTTCTCTTTGTTGAGATCTATCTACCTCTCAATTCCCTTGTTGATACCTCTTACAGTTTCTTGTGTTATGTTACGGACAAAATTATGACGGATGGACAGACAAAGCAGCGACTATATGCTCTCCCATCACGGAGCATAAAGACAGGAAAACAAAGAATTAATATTCATGTCATATATATATCACATCATCTATGAACTGGATGAGTGCCATCATTACCATACAATAGACAATTTCATATTTTGCTTGACATGTTATTGGAGTCAGGAATCATTGAATGCTGTAACAAGTTGACATCTGAAATATTTTTCCAATCTTTGTTATGTCATGCTTCACCTTTCTTTTGTACCTAATAGTGAAATTCTACGGTAGACGTGATCAGATAAATTCTATTAATCTGTCAAAACCTGAATCTATACAGTACTTACCAAAACACATCTCCTCACTCTTAAAGATATCATCTTATTCTCTTATATTTTATTGTCTGGAATATTTCAGTCTTACATAAACAATGACTGCCTGATCAACTGGATGGTTTATTGACTTGAGAATATATTGTATATTACCATTTGATTAACATGATGTCATTTCTGTACTTTTACAAATGTTGTTTATAAATCCCGATGTTTGGTGTTGACTTATAAAACTTGATGATAAATGTTGATAAATCCCAATGTTTGGTGTTGACTTATAAACTTGATGATAAATGTTGATAAATCCCAATGTTTGGTGTTGATTTATAAACTTGATGCCACATTTTATCTATATTTTTTTATGCGACCAGTGTGTGAAATGTCATTATACAAGACAGTGTTTCAAAGCTGTTTTGTATAAATTAGTTGTGCTCAACTTTTCCTGCCTTGATATTCCATCTTACTAACCTGTAAGTGACATTTTGTACTGGTCCATCGTTTGACCTTGACATTCTGCCTTACTAACCTGTAAGTGACATTTTGTACTGGTCCATTGTTTGACCTTGACATTCTGCCTTACTAACCTGTAAGTGACATTTTGTACTGGTCCATCGTTTGACCTTGACATTCTGCCTTACTAACCTGTAAGTGACATTTTGTACTGGTCCATCGTTTGACCTTGACATTCTGCCTTACTAACCTGTAAGTGACATTTTGTACTGGTCCATTGTTTGACCTTGACATTCTGCCTTACTAACCTGTAAGTGACATTTTGTACTGGTCCATTGTTTGACCTTGACATTCTGCCTTACTAACCTGTAAGTGACATTTTGTACTGGTCCATCGTTTGACCTTGATATTCCATCTTACTAACCTGTAAGTGACATTTTGTACTGGTCCATTGTTTGACTTTGACATTCTGCCTTACTAACCTGTAAGTGACATTTTGTACTGGTCCATCGTTTGACCTTGATATTCCATCTTACTAACCTGTAAGTGACATTTTGTACTGGTCCATCGTTTGACCTTGACATTCTGCCTTACTAACCTGTAAGTGACATTTTGTACCAGTCCATCCATCAGGACAATAACAAAATCCGTCAGTCTGTCGACAAGTCCCTCTCTCACATCTGAATTTGTTAAGATATGAATAAAGTAAGTAAGGCGTCTCGCCACAGCCAGAAGAAAGAAATAAAGTATATGATTCTGTCCTTAAAGACAGCATGAATGACTTTCATCTCAATTTCTTTTACACTAGCATTTTATATTTCAAATGATGTCTGACCATCCAACTCAGTATCTTGTCCGCAGACAATCCAAACCATTATCAAATGTAGAATAGCAGAACTATTGTATGAATCAAAATATAACTTGTACATAACCTTGAGGACTGACACAGACAAAATGATAACATATGCTTTAGGACTGACACAGACAAAAAGATAACATATGCTTTAGGACTGACACAGACAAAATGATAACATAAGCTTTAGGACTGACACAGACAAAATGATAACATATGCTTTAGGACTGACACAGACAAAATGATAACATATGCTTTAGGACTGACACAGACAAAATGATAACATAAGCTTTAGGACTGACACAGACAAAATGATAACATAAGCTTTAGGACTGACACAGACAAAATGATAACATAAGCTTTAGGACTGACACAGACAAAATGATAACATAAGCTTTAGGACTGACACAGACTAAATGATAACATAAGCTTTAGGACTGACACCGACTAAATGATAACATATGCTTTAGGACTGACACCGACTAAATGATAACATATGCTTTAGGACTGACACAGACAAAATGATAACATAAGCTTTAGGACTGACACAGACAAAATGATTAAATTCTTGCTCTATAAGATGTCACTGTTTGTGAAGGATGTATTTATGGCGAATGATATAACAGATCAACACCATCTCTGCCATATCTTATACTTACGCACAAGTCTGGGAACAGTTTGCACCAAATTTGCCGGTTGGACAGGGCGTGGTACAGAGTATACCCTTGTAGCCTGGTACACATTGACAATGTCCTGTGGCTGGGTCACATGTCCCTGTGGAAAATCTTCCACACGCCAAACACTCCCGCCGACAGTTAGAGCCATAGGTGTTGTTCTGTACGTTGAAATTTGGAAAACAAATTAAGTCTGTGAAGTAACTGCTGATGTATGAAATAAGTTAAGGAAACTCAGGCTAGCTAATACCTTGCTATGTTCAGGACATGAAAAAAATATAGCTACTTAGATTTTCTCTAAATTACTGCTGCTTAACTTTTAAAAAAATACAACTCTTTGCTATCAATTACAATGGAAAGGCCTTTTTTAAATACTCAATATGCATTATTTGGATTAAGAATGCTCAAAAATCAACTAAGAATCAAAAGCACAGAGTCATAAAACCATAATAAAATCTATTGCTTTTGGAATCATGTGAATGACCTTCCCAAAATAGCTATAATAGATATCAAGGTGTATAGAAAACATGCAAGTATTTCAGCTGTAATCTGCCGATTTGCTGATATTTAATAACTTACATAAATACTTGAATTACATATTCATTAAATTTCTGCCAGTGAAATATCGGAATACGTCAGTTTGATAAAAATGTATATCATTACTGCAGTCATGCTATATGAAATCTTATGATACTACAAATGATGACATACATGTAACTTTCCAGTGATGTTTAAAATTTGGTAGTTTTGAATAAACCAGAGTGTATTCTCTGATTTGATATATAAACATAGTTTTGTAAGGGATTCTCACCAAATAACAGCATTAACTGGTAGAATACAAGGTAAAGCAGCTTATTCAAAATGGTGTTGAGCATGACATCAAACCATCTGACGTGAAAAAACATTTTTAACATCACTTTTTTAAATATATATATAATTCGTATGACAGTATACATCTATTTTTCAATGGTACTTCAGCCTCCTGACAAATGTAGATATTCTGTCAAACTCGTAAATATCAATGATACTGAACAGGAAACCATTAAATATTATCTAAATAAGTATATACTTACAGAACAAGGTTGGTCACAGTGATCACCATGGAAACCAGGATCACAGATACAGATGCCAATTTCCTGGTGACATTTGCCATGGTCACAGTGGCACGTTTGATTACATCCTGCCCCAAAGTGATCTATCAACAAATCAGTTATAAAAAAGCGAGGCTCGATGAGATTCGATATAAAATTGTGTTCATTCATCATCAAGGTACCCCCTTCTAACAATGCATTGGTTTCTTTTAATGATGAAGCATCACACGGTCATGATACTCAATAATCTAAGAGAATGTGTGTGGTCAATTTTCAGTATTTTAAGACAGTCACAGTTACATTCCTGCCAAACTTGACTGCATAATTCATTCAACTAAATTACCTTTAACACACTATTTGTCACATGGACTTCCCTTTCAGATACACACGGTATTATACCTACCTGTAGGACACTTGGTCACACTGACTTCCTTGCCAGCCTGGACTACACACAGTATTATACCTACCTGTAGGACACTTGGTCACACTGACTTCCTTGCCAGCCTGGACTACACACAGTATTATACCTACCTGTAGGACACTGTTGGTCACACTGACTTCCTTGCCAGCCTGGACTACACACAGTATTATACCTACCTGTAGGACACTTGGTCACACTGACTTCCTTGCCAGCCTGGACTACACACAGTATTATACCTACCTGTAGGACACTTGGTCACACTGACTTCCTTGCCAGCCTGGACTACACACAGTATTATACCTACCTGTAGGACACTTGGTCACACTGACTTCCTTGCCAGCCTGGACTACACACAGTATTATACCTACCTGTAGGACACTGTTGGTCACACTGACTTCCTTGCCAGCCTGGACTACACACAGTATTATACCTACCTGTAGGACACTGTTGGTCACACTGACTTCCTTGCCAGCCTGGACTACACAGACACTGACCATTGCCAGAACAATGTCCATGGAAACAATCACACTCGTTTTGACATCTGTCACCATAGAAGCCTTCTGAACATTGACAGCTGGTTCCCTGTTTTAAAAAACAGATAATATATTTATTTTTTTTCAAGAGAATACAAACATGTGAACATCATCCAATCAATTCCACACAGAAAAGAGTGAGAATATTTTGTTAGTTACATCATTACCAGGCTCATCATCCTTGATATACCCTGCTGCTCAACAGATCAGGTGAAGACCTACATGAAGACTCTTTAGTATGAAATGGATTACATTGGGTACCTGTCCAAACAACTACTTATGTTATCAACAAAATTATATAATCAAGTAATGGAACCCTTTTGAGCGATAACAATGATATTTTCTTTGGAACAGACATTACCACCTATTGTCATTCTGTTTTACTGATTAACCCAGAATGAAAAATGCCAGGAACATGGGGGAGACCAACTCCACATATAGAGCTGGTCCAGAATTGAAAAATGCATGGCCAGGAACATGGGGGAGACCCAATCCACATATAGAGCTGGTCCAGAATTGAAAAATGCATGGCCAGGAACATGGGGGAGACCCAATCCACATATAGAGCTGGTCCAGAATTGAAAAATGCATGGCCAGGAACATGGGGGAGACCCAATCCACATATAGAGCTGGTCCAGAATTGAAAAATGCATGGCCAGGAACATGGGGGAGACCCAATCCACATATAGAGCTGGTCCAGAATTGAAAAATGCATGGCCAGGAACATGGGGGAGACCCAATCCACATATAGAGCTGCTCCAGGTTGTACTTCTATAGAGATACTTATCATATTTTGTTGTAAAAATCCTAGACGAGTTTTGATTTCTGTTTAAATCCAAAACTTAACATGAACTATAAAGGACCATCCTAAACTTTCAGTACGGACAAAAACCGAGGAAGGACAGGTTGACAGATGAATGATGCACCTTGGTCAAATGGTGATTTGAAAAGTCCATTTCTGTTTGATATCAAAACTGAACATGCACAATATTGGAACAACAAACAGAAGAGCATTATTATGTTTTAAGTAGGAGAAACACAGTGACTAATAGATTATGTATTACAGTTGAATTTTGGAAAGAATAACCAATAAATGATGGTAGGCAAATGTTACATGTCCAATACTAAAACTAAACTTAAATACGTACAGGGCATGAGCGACATTGACCAGTGCCTTTGTCACAAAATCCATTCAGGCAGTTAGGACATACTGTCGAACAGTTGCCGTAATAAGGCTCCTGACAGGCATTCTCACATCCTAGTCCTGTCCAGCCTGCAGGGCATGTACATGCACCAGTCACCTAGGAGAATCAGTAAGGTCAAGGGTTAAACAATCCAGAGGTCAAAGTAAAACTTCTGGGCTTTAGGAGTTAGAGGCTGATTTCATGAATACTACTTAAAAAGTCATGGCCCATGTTAACTTTTATTTCTGACCAACAACTTGTTTTACATGGAAAACTTTAGAAATCAATTCACATATATTTCATTATATCACATATATATCTGTATATAATCACCAGTTGTTCATTTTAAAATTTGAATTTGATTTATAATGAAACATACAGGGCAAGCCCTGGCAGGTACATAGACTTATGAACAACATGGAAATGGAATGATGTAACAAATGTAAGTACAAAAAACAAACATAAAATGAATTGGGGGTATAATTTCCCAGAATTAAATGCCCAAACGAGCGTAGGTACTATTTACAAGGTAAAGAAATAACAAGTGAGAGCCCCCACGAAGGTCTGACTTAAAATGTCAATAAATCAGAGATGAGACCTGATTAAAAAAGTCACAGGGTTTTTGCTCATCTGCAACAGAATTTTGCAGTATTCTCTTGAAAGGATAGCTTTGCAATCATTTTCAATTCATTCCACCATGGAAAGTTCCATATCTACAGTGTATATATTCTTAATCATAACTTGAATGTTTACGGTCATGGTATCAAAGGGGTAGACACACTAAAATAAGTACACACAGCACTTAATTATAATTAAAAAACTTTTCTGGAGGTCGAGGATAGAAGGAGTCTAATATACTGTTGATACATGTTTCAAATTCCCTCAGTTATTCCCAAGGATTTTTCCAGGTCTTACTTTATCACAGGGAGCCTCGTTATGACAATTACAGGTGGATGTACAGCCTGGACCGAAAAATCCAATAGGACAGGAGAGTTTACAGTCATCGCCGAGAAAACCTGGTTTACACGTACACAGTCCAGTATCAGTTTCACATTTCTCTGTCTGATTCATCTGACAGACGCAGTGTTTTTGGCAATTCACACCATACCTAGAACAAAGATTTAATGTGACAAATTAACAGAATCCTTTAGAACAGAACCCAAAATTATATTTAGAACATATATCTTTGAAAATATTTTTACTTACAACTGATTCACAGGATATATTAGAATGACCTTGACCTCAACCCTAATCACTATATTTGTCAGATTGATTTGCGTTACATTGTGGAAGCTTCAATATCTCTACTAGCCATGGTTACAAGCTATCTGTCATAACACTTACGTTCCCTGAGGACAAGGTTGGTCACAGTGAGGTCCAAGATAACCTGGTCCACAAACACAGGCTCCGGTCTGGTGGTCGCAGTCAAAGTCAGCGAGGCAGTTACAACTCTGTGCACAGTGCTTCCCGTAAGTATTATAGGGACATAGCTGTCAACAATGAACAGGTTTCTTAGAAATATATTTAGCAAATATAACAAAATCATTGCCACTTGGACACTATACCTGCCTTATAGAGGAAAAATATAAGAGTATATGCTGATTATAGAACACGGATTATCTTCCTTGTTGATGGATATACCACTTATTCTAAATACAAGTTCAAGATTTCTGAAACTGCCAGACAGGATTACTGACATGCAATGTATGTGCAACACAATCTTAAGGAATAGGCCTTGAAAGAGTCTTCCTGATTAATGGTTGGTTGTAATTAAGTATTTTAAAATTCACTTCCATCAACAATTATTTTTGAACTAACAAACTATTTCCAGTGAAAGCATCAGACAAAACAAAATGTCTGGACAAAGTGTTTACCTTTTCACAGGTGTGCCCTGTGTAGCCACTGTCACAGTCACACACGCCAGAAATCGGATCACAGCGTTGGCCATTACAGTCACAGATGTACATACAATTTGGCCCAAACACCCCCGGTTCACATGTGTCAGCACACATAGCTGTGGATAAACAAACACTGTCAGTGCAGAACGCTTTATAAACACATATACTTGTGAAACAAAGTGGATTGAACGTAAGTATCTCTTTCACACACTCATTATAAAACATGTACAAAGGTCATACCTTCATGACAAAGAAATTGTCAAATTTTCGAGCAACTTGTCCCTTTATCAAGACACAAATATTACATAAATTACATCACATACATAGAACATAAAACAATATACTTGTGAAACAAAGTAGATTGAACGTAAGTATCTCTTTCACACACTCATTATAAAATATGTGCCTCTTTCACACACTCATTATAAAACATGTGCCTCTTTCACACACTCATTATAAAATATGTGCCTCTTTCACACTCATTATAAAACATGTACAAAGGTGATACCTTCATGACAAAGAAATTGTCCAATTTTCGAGCAACTTGTCCCCTTATCAAGACACAAGTATTACATTAATTACATCACATACAAAGAACATAAAACAAATACAAAGTTATAAATCCAATACGAGAACAATGGTGTAAATTTAAGTGTCTCGATAATCCCTTTATATATATATATATATATATACACAAGAGTAAAAAAGCATACTTCTCAAACTATGGTTGACGGACAGATGGATGGACAGAGAAAGCGGCAACTATATGCTTTCCCTTTGGTAGCATAAAAAGTATTAAGTATATATCTCAATGAGACAAAGATGACAATGATACATTTTTAATTGTGTTGAAACCAGTAGAAATATTTACGTAGTTTGTATCCAGGTTTGCAATCACATGTTCCTGCAACTGGGTCACATGATCCTTGAACACATTCACACACCGACGAACAGTTCCGGCCCCATACTCCTGGTGGACAGGGGAAATTACAGTTATGGCCGTACCATCCTGGCTGACAACTACAATCAACATAATATCAGATTACATGTGCTGCCTATTATCAAGATGTCAGGAATTAAAAAAACATAGATATGATATATGGTATCTTGCACTTTATTATTCACTGGCTCACACTTACAAAATACTGGCCATTTTCCTGAAGAATGTGACGAGACTAGTCACTGAAACACCTGTGTCAGTTTGGTATATGAACATCTTGTCATATAAATGGTGCTTTCTACGACAGCAAAATACTCCCTCAGTGATAATTTCATTGTTTTGTTAAGTATATAAATATATTTCATCTTTCAAATCCAGATCATCTACTTACATACACTTTCCTGTGGCCTTGTCGCAGTCGGACGCACCTGTACAGTTACACAAATCTGTAAAGAATGACAATCAGATCGTTCCTTATTATCAATGGAAATAATACATCATTATTTTAACATCTTCATATTCACATTTGCCAAAAATAATAATTTTGATACTAGATTCAGTAGATTTACACTGGTTGAGACAAAAACAAGTATACACAACTATTTACTAAATATTAAAATAAGTCTGAAAATCCATATTAAGATATTTCCTGAATCATAAACACTGTTTGACCGGGTGGTATGGTTAGTTGTAATTTATGTCAATAATCTTAAATGTTAAGCAATGTTGAATTCTTCAACTTATTCGTCATCATTTGGTCAAAATTCAGTCTCTGTCTTACCCTCAAACTAGGCAATGATATATCCTTGATTCAAACCAGTTGGCCTAGTGACGGTCACTTGTTAATGAAGTCATTTTTGCACAATTCTGCGTTAGAATCATGTGTTCTGTGTTATACAGACAACTATATTCACAGTACAATAATCCCACAACCATTGTAGGTATAACCTCAATAAAACCGATAATAAGCAAAACTGCTGCTGGAAACCTACTCAGGCAGTTGGTTCCAAAGTGTCCATCAGGGCAGGGCGTTTGGCACTGAGTGCCATGGAAACCTGGTTTACACTGACACTGGCCAGTCTGAGGCAGACAGGATATGGTGTTGTTCTGATTACAAGTACAGTTTCTCCTGCAGGCACTACCCCATGTCCACTCTGTACATACCTGTAACACATCCACGTGTTATCAACACTATTGTACATTTCACACACCTGCAACACTTTCACTGGTTATCAGTTATTGCACACTTCCTACACCTGTAATATATCCACCTGTTATCAACACTATTGTACAACTCACACACCTGTAACACATCTATGTGTTATCAACACTATTGTACAACTCACACACCTGTAACACATCCACGTGTTATCAACACTATTGTACAACTCACACACCTGCAACACATCTATGTGTTATTAACATTGTTATACACCTCACACAACCAACAGGTTATCAACACCAACATTAACAACAAGAAAACATCAACATGTGACCAGAATCATAATCTAAACTCTACCTGTATCTCTCGAAACCTCGTCGTTGGTTTGTCAGTTTTCAATATATCTTATACAAAAATCATGATACTAGGAACAGGCCTCAGAATATATAACTTCATTGTAATATGTAAACCCAAAAGATTTGCAGGGATTGCATGTTGCTATTCATATATAAAAAATTCACAATAAGGAAATCAAAATCCTGACAATTATCATATAGCGTGGTGGTAAGCTGTCAATGTTGACATAGTTGTAGGAAAAGATCAAATTAAATACAGCCGCCGATATAGGAAAGCCTGTCACGCCCTGGATTTCTAATTCTGGTAGGTATTCTCAAGTAATTCAAAGACAAGACCTCATCAATGTACCCGATACCGAAATTGAAAGACTTTCAAGGGCATTCATGGTCTTTGCAATTTATTGTAATAAGCGCTTTGATAAATTCAGTCTTCTACATATCTAAACATTGTATATTGTATATAATGTTCTCTTGGACTTTTTGTGAAACATTATCATTTCAAATCAAATCTACACATAATTGAATGTCTTTCACAACTTTCCAATTAACGGATCTATAAAAAGTTAGGTCAAGTATGAATATCAATTAATTAAAATGCTATACTGCAGATAGGATGAGGAAATATAGTCACCAATATGGATGCCAAACTCACTCTGTCCACCACACAAGTATAATAACAGTAACCCTGGCTTGATATATATCTATGTAGAACTCTTATAGTTTCATGTCTGAGAAATGTAACTCAAAATAGATGCCTTAAGTAAGGATTAGTCCTGTCATATATTCTACCCAGAGTATACAGCGTACCTCAGCACAGCCAACACCAGTGAATCCTGATGGACAGTCACAGTGAATCTGCCAGGAGGTGACAAACTCGGTAGTCAAGGAACACTGCCCCCATTTCGGCTAAAACGAAGACAGATTAATTGTAGGTATCCATTGCCGTAACTGACACAATCAGAGTGATATCACGATCCTTTGTTTTATAAAACCTTATCTGTGTAGATCTTTTTGATCTTTGGATCAGCCGGGAAATTTCCATAGATGTTCTTAAATTATGTTATACAAAGCCCACTTTTACAGTAAATGTAGATAAGGACGGTTTCTGTTGTATGTATTAATGAACGGCAGACATCGTACATAAAACCAAGGAATCAGGTCTATAGAGAGAAAAAGGAGTAAGTGCAGTAAAATTTCTTCATTTTAATTACTTTTCCTTGTGACATCATTAGTACACATAATTTTAAACAATGCCCAGTACAAGCCAAACTTTCTAAAAATAAATGAGTACCAGAAATATATATGTAGGCAACTTACAGTGTTTGAATTCTGATCAGCAGTAACACACCAGGGCTCACACTTCGACACAGCTCCGGAGTGACCGACAGCTGGACTACCAGGGGGCGGGCCAAACACAAGAATTCGATACGTGCCACCACACATCTGCGTACGATCTCCCGTACAGGGGGTGTTACACTCGCTGTCAATAATGGAATAGCTCATGTTACATGGTATTCAGGTTGCGGGATGAGTGCAATGTTACATGGTATTCAGGTTGCGGGATGAGTGCAATGTTACATGGTATTCAGGTTGCGGGATGAGTGCAATGTTACATGGTATTCAGGTTGCGGGATGAGTGCAATGTTACATGGTATTCAGGTTGCGGGATGAGTGCAATGTTACATGGTATTCAGGTTGTGGGATGAGTGCAATGTTACGGGATGAGTGCAGTATTATATGGTATTTGTAAGACAGTTAAGGGTGTTTCATTTGTTGAGTATGCAGAATATTTGTTGTAAGAGAGAAAATTTGGTTGTATCTTATGAATTGGTGCAGAAGAAGGGCATTTGAAGAAAGAAGTTGCAGCCATTTTTGATTTGGAAATGTTCAAAAAATAGACAATGGACATCTTAGGGCCCCAAGGTGATTTATGTGAGAGGCAAAGGCTGCCATCTTGGTTTTTTTCCACACCAGACTGTTGAAAATGACTAAGTTCCAAAGCCCGGAAAACCAAGAAAAAACATCTGGAATGAATCCATAATAAAAGGTGCACATCTGCAACACATATATAAACATCCTACAAAGTTTTAAGCTTCTATGTCAAAAACTCCAGTAGTTCATTCTACAAAACTGGTACCCCTTTTCCCCACCGGCCATTCACCATACTATAACCCGGATTTGCACTAGGTGCAACCCGGCCAATAAATAGCACACGTCTTTATATTATTTTTTTTGAATATAATATAAAACTTTTAATGAATTATATAAGTATTTAACTTCTCACAGCCAATACAGTTATGAAACAAACCTGTCGGGTCGCTTAAGCTGCATCTTTAAATGGTTGTCACAGTAACACTCGTTGTGATATTCGGTGCCGGAGTACTTGTACCCTTTGAGTCTAGAATAAAAAAAACGTAAGGAGTAGATAACTGAGTAGTTAAAAAATTAATATAACTTTATGAAAATAATGATTAGATCAATTTGATATTCACAAGCCAAGTTTCTTACAAACAGGTTGCTGCTGAGAGGTGAAAGATATTTATATAATAATATTTCCTTACATCAGGTATGGTTAACACTTATTTTCCAGACAGTCACATTCCCTTCTAATTAATATTGACTCTCACCGCAAATCACCTATTGTCAAGAAGCATGCAAAGATCACTGATAAATCTAAAAGATATGTGTACAGATCTAAACTGTGGCCGTGTCAACTATTAAATTTTCTAGCGATACCTACAGCCTCCCATCAAAACTACACAGCAGGACATTAAGTATATTAATAGGGAATTTGGTCACTAATGCTGTATCTATATATCTACAGTGTTATTGCTTTTTTCTCTCTCAATTCCGACTTTCTGAAGTTCCAGCTTGTCAATATCAGTCAATCCACCATTTTATTGCACTAATTAACACTTCCTCCTTGGATGATATTGTTCTCGGTTGGTGTGACAAACTCATCCTTGGACATTATTATTGTTCTTGGTTGGTGTGACAAACTCCTCCTTGGACGATATTGTTCTTGGTTGGTGTGACAAACTCCTTCTTGGATGATACTGTTCTTGGTTGGTGTGACAAACTCCTTCTTGGACGATATTGTTCTTGGTTGGTGTGACAAACTCGTTCTTGGATGATATTGTTCTTGGTTGGTGTGACAAACTCGTTTTTGGACGATATTGTTCTTGGTTGGTGTGACAAACTCGTTCTTGGACGATATTGTTCTTGGTTGGTGTGACAAACTCGTTCTCGGATGATACTGTTCTTGGTTGGTGTGACAAACTCGTTCTTGGACGATATTGTTCTTGGTTGGTGTGACAAACTCCTCCTTGGACGATATTGTTCTTGGTTGGTGTGACAAACTCCTTCTTGGACGATATTGTTCTTGGTTGGTGTGACAAACTCGTTCTTGGATACTGTTCTTGGTTGGTGTGACAAACTCGTTCTTGGACGATACTGTTCTTGGTTGGTGTGACAAACTCCTCCTTGGACGATATTGTTCTTGGTTGGTGTGACAAACTCCTTCTTGGACGATATTGTTCTTGGTTAGTGTGACAAACTCCTGATTTTACCTATCAATATGCTTTTATTCTAAAGTAAACAATGACTCCTCCTACCACTATCAATATTATAGTAAAGCTTGACATGTTTGATGCTCATAACACCTGGTGTTCATATTTTGTCCAACTTGTCAGTATTTTTAATATATATCCCATCAAGGCCCTTTGTCTTGAAAGAGATATCTTTAACGATACCAACATGTATGTTAGAGTTATCTGTCCTTGGTAGTTTAAAATAGTACATCTGTAAATGTAACATATTTTAATGACACTTACTTGCGAGGAGGTCTGTCACTCGACAGATTTTATATAAATATACTGATACACATTCACTGCAGTGACATTGTATTCTATCATCAATACCTGCATGCTCTGATGCACTTGTCTTGAGTCAAACGTTGTTTGTCAGTGCTAGACAGAGTGACTGGGACTGATAACATCCTGTAGGTAGTATTGTCCACAAAGCAGCCGCGCAAAACCTCGTTACCATACTGCGTAGATGATAGGTCAATAAGTTTTTGGCCAGCCTGACTCAGATCCTGTAGGATTAATCAGAAATATTCTTTGTTTTCCAATTCAGATTTAAAAATGAAAACTTTAACAGAACAAAGTGTCGATGATGACAAGAGTGGTCAGTAACACTGGATTAACTTACCTGCCAGGCAGCTAGAATGTACATTATTTGTTAGTACCAGGTTTACTACCGATGAAGGGAAGGTGTGAACGTTTCAAGTACTGTAGTACTGAACAAAGTATTGATAGTATTGTACTGAAGTACTTCACCAATCGAATTCCTTAAATTTATGCAACAAGCTCTCTGATTGGCAGAGCCAAGTCTAGATCGATTGTGGGTGGAGCCAGGTGAAAAAATACTGTGCAGACATCGGCATTTTACAAACACTCGACTGTCGCGAGAGGTTAATTGGAAGAGTCCAAGTCACAGGTGGCTTCAGATCAGACCTAATTGGGTTGTCCCATTTGTTTCGTTCTACACCCAATGATACCTTGCTTTTCCATCGATGGTACAACGAGAAAACGAAAGTTACTCAGTACTAAACTAATTTACGTACAAAATATATATCAACAGGTTAGATCACTGGGACTGGAGAATTCATAACATCTTAACAGTGAATATAGTCATATAGTCATTCTGTACTAGTTTTATTTATTTATTTTTTTGAAAGGGAGGGGGGGGGAGGGTTGGCTCAAAATATTTCGGTTTAAGCCCAAGCTCTATTATATGTAACAAAGAATTACGAATTACCTGGGACCTCATGATATATGCCGATAATTCATACTGCATTAAAAAATAAAGGAATTCTGCGGTCCCATATATTTTTTATTTTATTTTTTATCTTTCCATCGAAAATTATACATATCCGCAACATGTGAAAAAACTTTGAAGTTGGTTGGGCGGAATATCTAGAGCATTTACTACTGCAAGGTCCAGAAATTCTGACACAAGTCGGGTATTTGCCCGAAGCCTCTGTCTCATGACATTGAATACATATTCAGTTACGTTGTATTCCGGGGAATGAGGCGGCTGAAAAACCAGGGACACGCCATATTCTTTCAGCATATTTCTTAAAATGCGCTCTCCCTGTCTATGGTGATGGAATCCACAATTATCCATCACAACCACATCGCCTTGTACAAAAACAGGATTCCCCATATCGTTCGTATCGGACATAATTTCGTCGAAGAAAATTTTGCGTACTGTTGTCGTCGTCGGACATTTTTCCAGCGATTACTTAGTAATTGTTATGTAACTGGTAGTGTACATTAACTCCGCCTACCGGAACAAATTGGGTGTCAGATCAACTATTCAGGTTGTCTAAACTCCGCCCCCGACCAATCACAGAGGTCGTTGTATACTTGACTCGGTTATTTGAATACTTCAATACAATAGTATCAATACTTTGTTCAATACTATAGTAAGTGTGTCGTTCACACCTTCCCTTCATCGGTAGTAAGATGGTACTTGACATTATTAAGTGAATAGCACATTTGAATACAAATTTAGAGTTAGGTAGAGCAGAGGTGAGCAATGAATTCAGCTGTGTCATACAGCAGTTTCGTCCTTCTAGGACTCGTCAGTGATGATACATCATACAGCAGTTTCGTCCTTCTAGGACTCGTCAGTGATGCTACATCATACAGCTGTTTTGTCCTTCTAAGACTCGTCAGTGATGCTACATCATATAGCTGTTTCGTCCTTCTAGGACTCGTCAGTGATGCTACATCATACAGCTGTTTCGTCCTTCTAGGACTTGCTAGTGATGCATTGGGCCTAAATTTGGAAGCTTACAAATTGAATAAGAAAATTCCAATGTGATTGAAAAAAATGTCAAACTCTAGATAGGGAGGTGCACTATCCTCAAAATTCATTAAATGTTGTGATTTTTCTATATCTGATGATTTTGAAAGAACATCAAGTACAGAGTATTTTCTGAAACATGCCACTATTTGCATGAATCAAAACGTGGCATGGGCCGCAAACTGCGGGGACTAGAAGTGTCACCACTTGTTACCATCTGATTGTCCCATTAACATAAACAATTAGACCAATACAAGTCCAGGTCTGTTACGGTAGCAATCATGTATACTACAATCAATGGCAGAGGTAAGGAAAATACAATGGGCCAAATGGTGCTTTGAATAAAATTGTCAAATAAATAATAAACTGGTTTATTTTTGTGCTAAGTTGACTTACCATAAACTCATTTTGAAGTGTAGCAGAAGAGTATATTTTGGAGACAGGACTGTAGTATCTTGTATTTCCTGTATATGTGATATACTCTAACCGGACACGCCCACTTCCACCTGTTCCCCCTTTATTATTGAAAGGGGCATAACCTCCGACGCCTCCGGACACATCGAGCCTCCATCCTCCCCTCTCACCTGAACAAGACATTGGTGCAACAGTGAAAAGTCAATAGCCAGAAATTTATATGAAACAGTTCATCTCAGATATCACCTCTGACATCCAGCCTAAACACATCCTCGATACTCAAGGGGTTACAGTTACTTTCGCTCTCTGTACCCCTGGAACATGTAATGGCAAAATTGAAGTTTGTGAACAAGACAAAAAGACGAGTTTGATCCTTTGATGTATATCAGACGAATCTCAATGTTGCATAACGCTATATTGTAATGGATTTGAAGTTGGGTGTTGCTCCTCTGTAATCTTCAATAATGTCTCCTCTCAGAACCAACCAAATTACTTTGTATGTGCCTTCACTTTTGTCATCAAATGTTCCAGGGGTGCAGACAGTGAAAGTGATGATTACTTCTGAAGTATTGAGGATTGTCATCATATTTCTGTTGATTGATGTCTGCCTTTTAACAATAAAATCACAGACATTTTGTTTCTGATGCATGATTTGTATGAGACTCCTTCTGTCCACAATATTACAATAACCGTTTGTTCATTATCCAATTAAGGTATACTGTAGTAGAAACAAAATACACAACATCAATATGTAAAATCTAGGAAAAGTTTTATCATCGTTATGTTCAGTCTATTTTATAGGTGCCTATCATTTTAGTGTTTAACTTAAATCCTTTATTAAGGCAAAACTCTGTTATTTTGGGATATAGGAGGATGTTCACCCCTCCCCCTCTCCCTTCCATTTTGTTTGGTTCACCTCTGTATTTTGGTATATAGCATCACAATATAAAGTTATTTCACTAATGTTTTCATGTTTCATGGTAAAAAATTCATTTCAAGGAAAAGAAAATATTTCATTAATTTGAATTACAACATATTTTGAATTTGAACATACAAAATTAAAAAACATTTTGCATCATAGTATGTCAATGTTGTATAGAGTACACCATTACATGATATAAGTAATAATGAATTTATGTACCAGGATTCCAAGGATTTGGGTTGAAAAGTTGAACAAAAATGTACTAAAAATCCAACCCTATCTGGTAAATATTCAGACAAGTACAGTCACAAAAAAAATAAAACTGACAATATAAAGATCCCTTTGGCAATTTCATTGTTTGCACTTTTGAATGGTGTATTTACCAATATTATAAATACTTACTTATGGCAATAGATTTTGCCGATATAAAGATACTTCCGCCACTGCCTCCGCCCCCGGCTCCAGACTCGTCCCAACATGCAGTTACATTGAGACTAGAACATTTTCCTCTGCCAGTTCGAGAAGAGATGGAGGTGCATGGAGGAGGACACCAACTGTTGATGGTTTTAAAACAAATTGGTTTTGAAATCACATAGTCTACCTTTATACATCTGTATAGGCATAGACTTTTGAAGCAATATTACAATACTAAAATTAAACCGACATTATTTTGCAAACTGTCTAACCATGCTTTATCACCAAATAAATTTTTGTGCGTAGAATAATGTAGAGCAGTGTACAGATCGCCTGATGTTCACATGTTTTATTTAGATGGCTCTAAACCAGCAACCACGTCTATGTAAACCAAAATTTGAAGTAATGATAAATTTCTGCTCCCTTTTTTAATTGCAAAGCTCTAAAATGGCACTGTAAAGCCTTATTTCCACATACATACAGATACTCGATATCAGAAGAAACCAAGTATTGGCATGTTCTCTACAAAGCTTGCAATGACTATAGATTTTGGTTTATAAGGAGTCAGATCACCCTGACGTGGCTCGTTTGATTCATGAAAATATCAAAACAACTACTAATACAAATTCAAACATTTCTGCCTTTTTTCAAAATGTCGGATAAAAAACACTTATGACAATAAAATGGTCTTTACTTATCCATTGGAGGAGAGGATGGGAGAGCATGTACTAGGAAACTTCTCAAAAGTAGAGGTAACAGGATTAGTGAAACAAACACTATCATAAATTGCATTGAAGTATTATGTATGCATTGTTTTGTAAACTCATTGCGTTCCAGACATGAGGTCAAGATCATTAAAGGAATGAGAAAATGGGGCAAAAATCATTTGAAAAACATTTGTTACTGGTTTTAAAATTCTTGTCATACAGTCATTTCCCTGAATGAACTGCTGTACACCTTTACAATGGTTACTTCACCTGTATGTACTGTACACCTTTACAATGGTTAATTTACCTGTATGTACTGTACACCATTACAATGGTTACTTTACCTGTATGTACTGTACACCATAACAATGGTTACTTTACCTGTATGTACTGTACACCTTTACAATGGTTATTTTACCTGTATGTACTGTACACCATAACAATGGTTACTTTACCTGTATGTACTGTACACCTTTACAATGGTCACTTTACCTGTATGTACTTTACACCTTTACAATGGTTATTTTACTTGTATGTACTGTACACCTTTACAATGGTCACTTTACCTGTATGTACTTTACACCTTTACAATGGTTACTTTACCTGTATGTACTGTACACCTTTACAATGGTCACTTTACCTGAATGTACTGTATACCTTTACAATGGTTATTTACCTGAATGTACTGTACACCTTAACAATGGTTATTTACCTGAATGTACTGTACACCTTTACAATGGTCACTTTACCTGTATGTACTGTACACCTTTACAATGGTTATTTACCTGTATGTACTGTATGTACTTAACACCTTTACAATGGTTCTCTTACCTGTATGTACTGTACACCATAACAATGGTTACTTTACCTGTATGTACTGTACACCTTTACAAAAGTTACTTTACATGTATGTACTTTACACCTTTACAATGGTTATTTTACTTGTATGTACTGTACACCTTTACAATGGTCACTTTACCTGTATGTACCATACACCTTTACAATGGTCACTTTACCTGTATGTACTATACACATTTACAATGGTCACTTTACCTGTATGTACAGTACACATTTACAATGGTCACTTTACCTGTATGTACTGTACACCTTTACAATGGTCATTTCACCTGTATGTACTGTACACCTTTACAATGGTTATTTACCTGTATGTACTGTACACCTTTACAATGGTCATTTCACCTGTATGTACTGTACACCTTTACAATGGTTACTTTACCTGTATGTACTGTACACCTTTACAATGGTTACTTTACCTGTATGTGCTATCACCCTGTCCAGGCTCCCCTGTTGCTGTAATTTTGCCTGAGATCTTCACACTTAGCTCCGCTTTCAGACTGATGGCTCCTCCACCATTCCCTCCCTTACCACCTGCATGAGAATAAATTCCATCATTCAATGAATTTCATAATTCTTATATACTTGATAATTTTAGAATAATGTCAAATATATATGTGTATTCTGAACCGAGGCACAATTTGACGATTTAAAGCTTCGCATGTAGGTTACAACAAACATCACTGTCCCAGCACCCCAACATATTGTAATTAAACTGATGAAGTTGATTCAATATTCAAGGGCCTGTTCCTATTATCACAATTTTCATGCATGAAGTCATTAACTGATAGAAAGACTCATTACACAGCGTTTCAAAAGGTGTAGGTTGATGAAAATTATGGGAAAGTAAAGTGAGGGTATGTTTGATTGATCAAGAATTATACGGCAGTTGTCATCGATGAAGCAGAAAACACTTACTCTTTTGAAGCATCTGGTTTTGTTCTTGAATGTTTTCATGAGTTTCCATGTAAATCTTTCTTTTGTTCAAATTTTCCGTGGTTTTATTGAATTTGAGTTTGGATTATGATTTTGGTGGTGATCTCTAACTGTTTTTGTCTGATGACTCACCTTAATTAGTATAGATATCTACGAGGAGGGTTAACAGGTGAACAGGGAGGTCTGTACAGAAACTGTATATCTATTTACAAGGAGGGGTATAAAGGGGAGGTTTGTAGAGAAACTGTATATCTATTTACAAGGAGGGGTATAAAGGGGAGGTTTGTATAGAAACTGTATATCTATTTACAAGGAGGGGTATAAAGGGGAGGTTTGTAGAGAAACTGTATATCTATTTACAAGGATGGGTATAAAAGGTAGGTTTGTAGAGAAATTATATCTATTTACAAGGAGGGGGGTATAAAGCGGAGGTCTGTACAGAAACTGTATATCTATTTACAAGGAGTGGGGTATAAAGGGGGAGTTTGTAGAGAAACTGTATATCTATTTACATGGAGGGGTATAAAGGGGAGGTTTGTAGAGAAGAAACTGTATAGTATTTACCAGGAGGGTGAACAGAGAGGTCTGTACAGAGACTGTACAGTATTTGCCTGGAGGGTGAACAGAGAGGTCTGTACGGAGACTGTATAGTATTTGCCTGGAGGGTGAACAGGGAGGTCTGTACAGAAACTGTAAAGTATTAACTGGAGGGTGAACAGACAGTTCTCTACAGAAACTGTATAACATTCACCTGGAGGGTGAACAGAGAGGTCTGTACAGAAACTGTACAGTATTTACCAGGAGGGTGAACAGAGAGGTCTGTACAGAAACTGTATAACATTCACCTGGAGGGTGAACAGAGAGGTCTGTACAGAAACTGTACAGTATTTACCAGGAGGGTGAACAGAGAGGTCTGTACAGAAACTGTACAGTATTTACCTGGAGGGTGAACAGAAAGGTCTGTACAAAAACTGTTGTATTTACCTGGAGGGTTAATGGTTAGGTTTGTAGCACTGCCCCCACTACCGCCTCCAGACCCTAAGTACAGGTCACTAAGTGTTTCATCTCCATACACTTGGCCAGAGCTTCCATACCCATTGGCCTGATTTCCAATGTTCCTATTATATGACCTGAAGAGACAAAACTTGATCAAAGATTGTACAAAAAACACAAGTCAACAGCACATTCAGCACAATTTGGAATTAGATTAAGTTAAGCAATTGAATTGCACACAAATGACAAGTCCAAGACACATGTCGATTTGATCTTCTATCATTAGATACAAGCCAGTGAATACTTGTGTGAATAACTATCTTTTCATAGTAACACATGAATCTTTTGCTTAACATGATAATAATTACAATTTGATTATGGTAAACCTGTATGTATACACCTATCACAAGTGGGATCATGATTCGACTCTGAAATGTATTCCTACAAATATGTTTAATAGTGAAACTGGCGTTCAAAATTGAAAGTTCCTTGTGCAACACCTTGTGGACAAGACTTGTTTGATGCTTTGATGTACATCAAATGAATCTCGAGGTCACATAACTGTATATTGTAATGATTTTGAAGTTGGGTGTCACTTCTTTGTAATCTTCAAAGGAATGTATTAGCCTATGATTGGTCAGTTTTTCCCCCCTGAATCCAGTCTAGACCAATCAAATTACTTTACTTGTGCCTTCAATTTTGGCCATGTAGTGTTCCAGGGTTGAACAGTGCGATACTGATCATAACCCCTGAAGTATCACTGATGCCTTGAGCTTTAATATATAGTCAAATAACAGACAGTTCCTCTGGTCAAATATTTTTAACAAAATATCTGTAATATACAGTATGTTAGAAGACTTACGCTGGGTTACCATATCCTCCCCCTCCCCCTGGTCTGCCACGATGGTCTGATGATTTGGTGCCTCCCTGTCCCCCTCCTCCGCCTCCCCTGTTGTCACTGGTTTTTGTCTTTCCTAAACCTGGAAATACATCATGGAATATATCCTCTTGTAAAACCTTAGCCTCAGTTAATTGACTAGCATTTAATTATTGATATCACACACTGAAAAAAAATAGCTCATACTTATTACAAATAGAACTATTACTGGCCGATAGCTACTCCATGGACATTGTCCATGGACTTTGACGTGTCCATGAAATTTACAGACAAATCCAGGAAGTTCATGGACATTGTCTATGAAGTGCATGGCTTCTCTATGGACATTGTCCATAGAACTTTATTGTCTGTGTATTTCCAATGGATAGTGTACAGCCGGATGACACCGGGAAATCAACCTTCTAGGCTTATGATCTTTCAACAATCTGTGAGTGTGGTTATAAATTTTGTATATGGTCCTTCTATATGCCTTACAACAAACTAGAAGGGCATTGAGTGACCATCAGGGATGTACCTTATATAAACTCTAAGACAGAATTACACCCTGCAATGTAAACTATACATTGATTTAGGAGATGTACATGCATATGCCCTAAGGTATAGCTCCACCTCTACATAAATAAATTTACACTAACATACCTGGGTAGGACTCCCCTTGTTGGCCTGAAGCCCCTGTCCCAGGTATAGCTCCACCTCTATACATAAATACATTTACACCAACATACCTGGGTAGGACTCCCCTTGTTGGCCTGAAGCCCCTGCCCCAGGTATAGCTCCACCTCTATATATAAATAATGATTTTACTCCGACATACCTGGGTAGGACTCCCCTTGTTGGCCTGAAGCCCCTGTCCCAGGTATAGCTCCACCTCTACATAAATACATTTACACCAACATACCTGGGTAGGACTCCCCTTGTTGGCCTGAAGCCCCTGCCCCAGGTATAGCTCCACCTCTACATAAATACATTTACACCAACATACCTGGGTAGGACTCCCCTTGTTGGCCTGAAGTCCCTGTCCCAGGTATAGCTCCACCCTACATTTATAAATTGAGGGGTTTTTTCACCCCTCTAAATAATGATTTTACTCCGACCCCTCAAGGACTCCCCTTGTTGGCCTGAAGTCCCTGTCCATGGTATAGCTCAACCTCTATACATAAATACATTTACACCAACATACCTGGTTAGGACTCCCCTTGTTGGCCTGAACCTCTATACATTTACACCAACATACCTGGTTAGGACTCCCCTTGTTGGCCTGAAGCCCCGGCCCCAGGTATAGCTCCACCTCTACATAAATACATTTACACCAACATACCTGGGTAGGGCTCCCCTTGTTGGCCTGAAGCCCCTGCCCCAGGTATAGCTCCACCTCTACATAAATACATTTACACCAACATACCTGGGTAGGACTCCCCTTGTTGGCCTGAAGCCCCTGCCCCAGGTATAGATCCACCTTTGTATCCAGCTGCATGAGCATTTAGTGTGCCAGCAATCAGAATATTCTGTATGATCAAGTCAGACATGTCATGAAGAGTGAATAGTAACATTCTGATGGTGTCACATATAAATCACACTACACGCTCCCCATAATTTTCTTATGTTTCGTATCAAATATGTTAAACCTTACACTGGTGTTAGGTATCTGATATAATTGATAATCGGTTTTCATTTTTTCAAGTGATGCATTTTTTTAGATAATATTTAATCCTCAAATACAACAATAATCCATCTTTACAATATTAGTTCAGTTTTATTTGAACATTTCAATATTGTTTTGGCCTGACTTTTACACTTATCATATACATATTTGAACCAAATAATGTGCAGATGCGACTGACCTTGGCTTGGATCTGGAGTGTGCCACCTGTTGATCCATTCCATGGTTTAACAAATACAACAGTGTTTTCTGGTACTGTGAACTGGCTGATATTACAATGGCTACCTAAAAAATGAACAAAACTTGATCAATTTTACCATAGACTGCCCTCTTTGGAGCTCCAGCACATTTCAGATGGCACTGTATGGTGAGCATTATAGCTCTATTTAATACAATAATCTTTCCACTATATAAACTCCTTCATGGCTGAGTCACCCACAAAATAAAGTTGGAGTCTGAAGTGTTATGCACATTTTTGTTATTTCGTTAATTGATATTTGCCGTTTTGCTTCAGCGATTACATATTCTAAACAAGAGTATCAGTGAAACTGATGAATCCTCCCAGAAAACGACTTTTTTGAACACAAAATTCAATCAAAGGGCAATAACTCTGTAATTAAGAAGTTGCAGGCCCTGAATTTGGTATACTGCACATTCTCTTAGTAAGACCAATGTACACATCATGTTTCAATAACATGTAAATTATGTAAAAGAGAGTTATGGTTCTTGTATACTGCACTTCTCCTTATCAAGATTTACAAGTATCTACCTTAATTCATGTTGATACCTCTTACAGTTTTTGTGATATGTTCTAAACAAAATTATGACGAATGGATGGATGGACGGACGAACAGACAGACAGACAAATGGACAAAGTGACTTTATGCTTCCTGAAGGGAGAGCATAGAATATGTGCTGAATTTATAAAACTTACAGTTATGTGGCAGATGTCTTCATTTGGGAGTCAATGTAAGTCAAGATGAAGTAAAACTCTTGACTGCTAACATCTGATTATTTTCTATTGATTTTTTTTAAAGCATGATTATTCACATAATACAATAAGTCTGAAGTTTGTCAGCTTATCAACAGAAAATATGTTACTTCCTTATGTGCTCTTAATGTATAAAAAGACATCCCTCATTTCTCTGTCTAAACCTACATGATATCATGTGACTATGTATACCTGAGATGATAATGGTACTAGATTGGTCTAGGATCCAATCCTCTCCGCCGTGATCTAAACCAACACAAGGGGGTGGTAACACCTCTCCCAGCTCCCAATATCCAACCAGGCCTTGTGTCTGAGCTTCATTCTATCAAAATACATTATGATTTCAACTTTACACCATTTCACTGCTTGGTGTGTCATTAAGGATAGAAAAGTAATGTAACGTTTGAAAGTTTGTGTAAGGAACCCAGTAAGGGTTACTAACGGTCTGAAGAGAAGCTGGTTTATCATTCCATCAATAAAAGTTTCAGGATTTTGAACCTAGTCTACAAAAAGGCCTATTTCTGTACATTTAGGGCAGCAAAGATTATAAGGCAATGAATGTTGGAAATCCCAGGGAATTACTGGATTGCTGTATTGTAACCATGGTAACATTTGAAATAATTTTGTTGCATTCATAAGTCAAATTGTGGCTGTATATACTTTTGGTTTTAAATGACCTCAGTGATTTCCTACTTACTGTATAGTAAGCTGCACTCTGTGTTTCCATACTTTTTTTCAAATCTGATGGAGACAAAGCCCTCTTCCAGATCTTTACTGACTGAAATTCAAATAAAAAATGAAATCAATAAATAATGCTTTTATATGTATGTCTCATACGCCAATATATCAAGCATCGTCTATTCTAAAGAATAAAACATTGTAAGCAATTTATCACAGAATGCAGGCGATATTCCTCAGAGTGAATAGTGTTACTTTGAAATTTCAGTTCAGAAATAATTACTAAATGTTATAAAAAGGACCTTGACTTAATTGTACCTTCATCAATAAAAAAAGCCACAATATTGTGGAGGTGACTCTATTTTAAATATGATTACTTTGATCATGCCCTTGAACCTGCCCTGTTCACAGCACTCCTCGCCACCTATCCACAATCCTCCTGTTGTTGGAAGGGCGTTGGGGCTAGCCTTTAAAAAAAGACCAATGTTTTACAGTTATATGATTGACTTTTACATGAAATATGTAGAATATCATTAAAAAGCATGTTTCTTTTTCTTGTTTTGTCAATAGAGGGATGATATTCATAAAAAGAAAGTTTGAGAAAAGGATTTACCTCAATGACTGTATAAAGAAATTGTAACGAGAGAAAAAAATTTAACAAAAACTCAAATGCAAACTTGATTCATGGATATATTGAAAATATTCATTATTCAAATCTCACAGCAATTGAATAAGTTTTTTGATAACATTGATTATTGTTATTGGCAGTTATAACAAGAGGAACTGATCTTCAGGGAGATCCACCATTGGGTGGTAGGACATGAAACACAAAATGTTGTTATGTTAGCCTGATCCATCCCTAAGCACTTGGTACTAACCCGTATAGATCTCAGTTTCCCATTGACATAAAGTGTGACATGAGTGTCGTTTTTTATTGAAGCAATAAGATACCACTGCCCCGTTTGGATCTTGTCCACAGCCGACAATCCTCGTGTACAAATACTATCAGCACCTTGTCCTCGATAATACGCCCAAAAATTCTCAAAATGATACAGCCCGAAGTCTTTACAGTCTCCAACACCACCTACAATAGTCTAAATACAGAGATATTAAATCAACACAATGATAAAATGCACAGTGTAGCATGGTATTGTGAAGCATGGGGAAATGAACTGGGGTCAAAATACCATAATGGTGAAGTGAACAGCAATTCACTTTACCACGGGCTTCACATTACAACAGTTTGTTTGTTAACAGAGGTTGCTGATTAATATCCAACCATCAGCTGGTTATATTCTTCATTTCATACAGTTGTAGCTCATGGCATGGGCAGAAAAATTCAAGATTTTTTTTCTTTTTTCTTTTTTTTTTAGTTTCTTACAAGATCTTCTGGTCAGGACTCGTAGTTTTTGTATGGCATACACAGGTATAGGATCATTGTTTCATATAAGTTTAACATATCTGTCATCACCTCTTCCAACCCCAAATTTTGTAGTTAATATCAAAACTTATTTCTTTCTTTGATAACTACGCTTTTTACCAACCCTGAACCTCATACACATACCCATAGATAAGTGACCTTCATCTCTTCGAATTTAGAGTACGAAATTTATTTTATTGAAGACCTTATCAAAACAGGTTACAAAGAACTTTTCAAAGTCCTTCCTGAGTTTCGCTTTCAGATATAGTGTTAACAGCCTGTCTTTCAACAACAAGTTACTTATTGACATTGTCCATCGTATAAACCAATCAAAATTGGAAATCAACGACATGACAGACTCTTCTACATCAGACGCTTATCACAATCTTTTCCTACATCAAAACCTGCAAGGACAGCTTTACACCAAGCTGTTTGACAAGTGTGATTATCTTAATCTGCTTATTATGAATTATCCATTTATGGATAGCAACACCTCTGCAGCAGCAGCTTATGGAGTCGCGGTTAATTCAATATTCAAGAGTCTATGCTTAATATCAGACAGAAAAACACACAATACAGGGTTTCGAGAGATGCAGGTTGATGAAAATTTTTGGGGAAGTTGGTTGTTATTGTGATCTTATTTTAGAAATATTCAATTCCTTTGTACAATACGAAGCTGGAATGTTTGATGCTTGTTAGTTTGCCTGTTGGGTCCGTTGTTCTATACCTTATTATTTGGAAACAGGACATTACTTGAATTGACCAATATTTACATGGCAGGTGTTATGGATGAAGCAGAAGACACTTACTATTCCCAAACACTTGGTCTTATTCTGCTTGTATATTTTCAGGAGTTTTCGTGTAAATCTTTCCTTTGTTCATATTTCATCCTAGTTTTATTGATTTTGAGTTTGGATTATGATTCTTTACACATGTTGGTATTTTCTTAGTCAAATACCATGTACATGTTTATTTCGCTGTCGGTGGTGAAAGGAACAAAGACTATAGGGATAAGTAAGATATGAAAATACTTCCTGCCATTGTAGACTAATTATTATTGATAAAAATCTTTGAGAGAATGGTACCAGACAAATACATGTTTCATGTTGTGAATAACTAAATGATATAAGCCAAATGTTGTTCTTTACAAGATTACAGATCCAGTTTGATTACAGGACAAGTAACTCACACGTCTAGTTACGTCAGCCACGTCAGGTCTCACCCAGGCAGCAATGGTATACTGGGTCCCTGGACTCCACAGGCCCAAATCTATATATCCATCCCTCTGGCCATCAAACTTTGTACCACAAGCAAAGGGAGGACCAACCTATGTAACAAAGAAATATGTGGCATCACGTCCTGTAAAATATACACACGAGACTTTAAAACATGACTGATATCTCAGATCAATGTAATACAACATGAAAGGTAACCCCGTACATCCCAATTGTCAGCTGAGGCTGGTGACACAACGTTGAAGGGAATCTGATCACAAATGCTGCTTCCACAAATAAACTCTTTAGGAAGATAAAACTTGTGTGATAACAAATATTTCACCTTAATATTGTCTTCATTCTTTGAAAACCAATCAATAGAAATGGTTGGGGAAATGTATGAAAAATATCACCTGATTAAATAATATAGAAATTTACTTTTCTAAAACAAACATATATCTCACATTAATAGTCGTCATTCTTTGGAACCATAGAAATGGATGAGAGCTTTAGGGTAGGAAGTTATACTATTCTATACCAGGGTATGTGAATTTCAAATCTGAAATCAAACACCTTGATTAATAAATTAACCTGCGGGCATGATAATATACCAATCCTCAGAAACAAGTGTATTTTTGAAGACTTACACTGTTCGATTGGATACAGGATCCGTAAGAATTTGTTCCGTACTGAAATGGAAATACACAAGTGTCTCCAGCGTTGTCTCCTCCATACGCCTTAATTTCCTCCTGAGGAATGGCGCTACATATTCCTGTTAACAGTAGTATTCATGGTAAATTAACATCTGATGTGTAAATGTTCTATAAACAGGAAGTGTTTCGCTCTTGATTTGATATGAGATATTCATGATGTCCTATCAATATCTCTATTCTGATGTTTTCTCCTGTAATTAATTCTCCATACCATTTCTATTTTAAAGCAATGCCATTGGGTATAAATACAACAAATTAAATACCAACATATTAACAGAATCCTAATTCGAATACAAATGCAATAAAATTGAGGCAAAATAACAGTTAATGAAAGATTGATGCATCCTTGCCTTTCTTTTCTAACACTGTTGGGTACTTTCAATAAGTCAATTAATTTCTGTTTATTTAAAAGACAAGACATCACCAAGATTTTAATTGAAAGTGAAGGCCTTTACAAAGTCTTTGAGACCTGTTTTGACAACCTCTTTGATAAATTCAATTTGGTATTAAATCTAAAACGGGTCATGCAAGAAAGAAACAGTTTGAAAGTAAGTCTATATTGATAAAACCACTGACGGTGCGACTTAAAAACGATTAAATGTCAAAATAAAAAGTCACATTGACTATCATATCTCACAGTTAAATGTGACAGCTTCAATACCTGGTCAACCAAATGTATCGAACATTGATCAGTATAAATTAGAAAAATGAACTAAGAAGATGATAGATGTGGTAATTTAACATGTACATGTTGTAATGGTATCAGAAGAGTGATTCCTAAATGTAATGAGTAGTGATAGACACCATAATTAGTTTAAAAAATGAAATTCTAAAACAAAAATCCATCTAAAAACCTTTGTGCATCATACCTAATACAGATCAAATAAGAATAATAACTCATCAGTGATTAATTTGCTAAAATTATTTAAGTGTGAGAGAGCAAAAAGTTCACGTCAATCCGCCTTTTTTTTACTGTATTGATACACAAATGTAATAACCTGTCAGGTACATTTGAAGGAAGCGTACCATCTCCAACTTACCTCCAGCACCGCACGCAGTTACGTTGTTGTGTGTTTCATAGTAGCCACAATAATCAAAGTTTTCACACTTCTCGCCATAGTAACCTTGGGTACAAATGCACTCTCCAGTGATCATGTGACAATGACCTCCATTTTGACACCCACAATCAAATTCTATAAAAGATTGAATGTATCTTAGCATTTATAATAAGAAAAGAGCATTCATCAAATGTACTTACAATTGAACCTGGTCCGGAGAGGACAGGACTGACAGTTCTCACTCTCACATTTGGCTTTCGACGTATGACAGAGATTGTACTCACTTTAACATGTGAAGATTACAGGACTGACAGTACTCACACTTACATCTGGCCTTGATTATGCAAGACTTACACTATCTATCAGAATTGTCACTATACTCACACTTACATCTGGCCTTGATTATACAAGACTTACACTATCTATCAGAATTGTCACTGTACTCACACTTACATCTGGACTTGATTATACAAGACTTACACTATCTATCAGAATTGTCACTGTACTCACACTTACATCTGGACTTGATTATACAAGACTTACACTATCTATCAGAATTGTCACTGTACTCGCAATTGAATGAACATATAGGATGACATTATGGTATACTTACTCTTACACCTGGCCTGAAGGGTACAGGACTGACAGCTATGCAATAAACTACATGTGCCTGTATTGTAGCGGATCTGGGTGGCTTCTCCAGTAGCCGTCATAAACTTGTGGTTACCAGAGGATACAGGATAGTAACCTCTATGATAAAAGAATAGGAATGTACAATATGCACATAAATTAATATAATGTATGATATGTACATAAATTAATATAATGTACGATATGGATATAAATTAGTATGTAAGTTAGTAATTAGAGGAAATTACAAATTCCTTTATCTGGTTTCTTCTCTTTTTTAAATCTATAAGACATCTTAACCAGAAAAGGGTTATTGTTCATAAAGTCTTTGCAAATTCTAATCAGACTTAATGGAGTTAAGCTATGTTATTGATTTTTTCGTGCTTCAATATTTGACAGATTTCAGAATGGTATGTTTATTTTGTTCTGACTAATATTGCATTGAATTTTGTATTTAGTGAGATGTTCTTGTTTGAAACAACAGACGTTCATGTGATTCATTTTCTATCTTACAATAGGTGGGTGTTATTCCAATCGCAATACATCAATTAACCCTCACAGCTATAATGTAAACAAACCAAAATACAAAAAAGTATGTGACATTTACCAATGATACTGGTTATTTGAACTTCACAATTACTTCTGTTGCTGTAGTTTTAATCTTGATTCTCAGCTTTCAAACGAAAAGATGAAACTAAAAATATGTTATTGATGTGGTTTTAGAGCTGGTGGTCTGACCGTCACATTTATTCTTGGACTAGATAGTTGACCGTGAAATAGATCGCGGGGGAAAATATATGACCTTGACATTTACTTGGAGACTGGAGGTCTGACCTTGACACTTGTCTGATATCTAATCTTGAAATTATTCAGGTTACTTTAATATTAACTGAAGGAATTACTTAATGGTGGAAAATGTGACACTGACCTCAGAATTAGGACCTAACCTTAACACTACAGACAGACAATGTGACCTTGACATTTACCTATCCCTGTAGGTACAGCCTGTGAGGTTAGAGCCTGGTGGACATTTGACCATACCACTGCCTTCTACATTAAACATGATGATGTGGTTACCAATGCCTGGTCGACAGGTGGTCAATGGCTGAAATAATAAAACATATTTGATCTTAGTCGAGACATATTCGTTCAATCACTATAAATACAATGCATACGGGATATTTATAAATCAAAACTATACTCCGTCCATCACCAATGAGGATAGATCAAGGCTCACAAACAGAGACCAGGTCACACAAGTCTATAAACAAAGAGGACATTCTCTTGAGATCAGCACAGAAATCTATTCAGCTCACAGTAGTTTTTGAATGGTCTGACATTGTTCTTTGTTAATTAATGGTTACATGACTGAAAATAAATACATTTTTGTCATCAATGAGAACGGAAAATACATATTGGAAAGAGCACATCATCTATACATCATCACCTACCTTTACTACACCTCATCATCTATACATCATCACCTACCTTTACTACACCTTGTGATCTATACATCATCACCTACCTTTACTACACCTTGTGATCTATACATCATCACCTACCTTTACTACACCTTGTCATCTATACATCATCACCTACCTTTACTACACCTTGTGGTCTATACATCATCATCACCTACCTTTACTACACCTTGTGGTCTATACATCATCACCTACCTTTACTACACCTTGTGATCTATACATCATCACCTACCTTTACTACACCTTGTGATCTATACATCATCACCTACCTTTACTACACCTTGTGATCTATACATCATCACCTACCTTTACTACACCTTGTGGTCTATACATCATCACCTACCTTTACTACACCTTGTGATCTATACATCATCACCTACCTTTACTACACCTTGTGATCTATACATCATCACCTACCTTTACTACACCTTGTGATCTATACATCATCACCTACCTTTACTACACCTTGTGATCTATACATCATCACCTACCTTTACTACACCTTGTCATCTATACATCATCACCTACCTTACCTCACCTCATCATCTATACATCATCACCTACCTTTACTACACCTTGTGATCTATACATCATCACCTACCTTTACTACACCTTGTGATCTATACATCATCACCTACCTTTACTACACCTTGTCATCTATACATCATCACCTACCTTTACTACACCTTGTGGTCTATACATCATCACCTACCTTTACTACACCTTGTGGTCTATACATCATCACCTACCTTTACTACACCTCATCATCTATACATCATCACCTACCTTTACTACACCTTGTGATCTATACATCATCACCTACCTTTACTACACCTTGTGATCTATACATCATCACCTACCTTTACTACACCTTGTGATCTATACATCATCACCTACCTTTACTACACCTTGTGATCTATACATCATCACCTACCTTTACTACACCTTGTGATCTATACATCATCACCTACCTTTACTACACCTTGTGATCTATACATCATCACCTACCTTTACTACACCTTGTGATCTATACATCATCACCTACCTTTACTACACCTTGTGATCTATACACCATCACCTACCTTTACTACACCTTGTGATCTATACATCATCACCTACCTTTACTACACCTTGTGATCTATACATCATCACCTACCTTTACTACACCTTGTGATCTATACATCATCACCTACCTTTACTACACCTTGTGATCTATACATCATCACCTACCTTTACTACACCCCGTGAGCCATACACTTTGCACTTGTCTCCTTTGAAGGCAGCCCCATAACAACTTCTGTCACATGTACATTTCTCGGCAATCATTCCAACGGGGCAAGTTAGGTTTGTTGTAATAACCTCTGTTGAAAGATAGAACATTTTTATTTGTTGAAGTATTTCAATATATCCAAAATGATCCGTAGACATGACATGTATGAAATGATTGTACACAAAACACACTTTAAAACCTACGATTAGGGATGTCACACATTGACCCTGTGTAGCCAGAGTAGCAGAGACAATGGAAACCCGAGGCTGATGAGGCAACACATTTTCCTTCATTCTTGCAGGGTGATATTCTGCAAATTAAAGGGAAAAGATTTCCCATTAAATCATGAATCTCAAATTCACTACTAATGTTGTCTGAGCAATGTGTCTACAGTCTAAAAATAATGTTTTGGAGCAATGTGTCTACAGTCTAAAATAATGTTGTCTGAGCAATGTGTCTACAGTCTAAAAATAATGTTTTGGAGCAATGTGTCTACAGTCTAAAATAATGTTGTCTGAGCAATGTGTCTACAGTCTAAAAATAATGTTTTGGAGCAATGTGTCTACAGTTAAAATAATGTTGTCTGAACAATGTGTCTACAGTCTAAAATAATGTTGTCTGAGCAATGTGTCTACAGTCTAAAAATAATGTTTTGGAGCAATGTGTCTACAGTCTAAAATAATGTTGTCTGAGCAATGTGTCTACAGTCTAAAAATAATGTTTTGGAGCAATGTGTCTACAGTCTAAAATAATGTTGTCTGAGCAATGTGTCTACAGTCTAAAAATAATGTTGTCTGAACAATGTGTCTACAGTCTAAAAATAATGTTTTGGAGCAATGTGTCTACAGTCTAAAATTAATGTTGTCTGAGCAATGTGTCTACAGTCTAAAAAATAATGTTGTCTGAACAATGTGTCTACAGTCTAAAATTAATGTTGTCTGAACAATGTGTCTACAGTCTAAAAATAATGTTGTCTGAACAATGTGTCTACAGTCTAAAATAATGTTGTCTGAACAATGTGTCTACAGTCTAAAATAATGTTGTCTGAACAATGTGTCTACAGTGTAAAAATAATGTTGCAAGAGCAATGTATCTACAGTCTAAAATAATGTTGTCTGAACAATGTGTCTACAGTGTAAAAATAATGTTGTAAGAGCAATGTGTCTACAGTCTAAAAATAATGTTGTAAGAGTAATGTGTCTACAGTGTAAAAATAAAGTTGTAAGAGCAATGTGTCTACAGTCTAAAAATAATGTTGTAAGAACAATGTGTCTACAGTCTAAAATTAAAGCCCCAATATACGTAACATTCACCAAAAATTTAGTGTAGAATCACACATAATTATTGAGATATTCTCTGAGATGTAGTTAAAATCAAGTTATTCAAACAATAGTTACCATGACTTTGTGCATAAAGTATTGATGCATGAGCAGTTGAAACTCACTATTTGTAAACACACCCCCATTTTAAACACGCCGCCATCGAAATTACGATTGTTGCCGAACGACATCGGAAAGTTCATGACCTGATCTCGCGAGAGTTAATGGTTTCTACTTATAGAGGAAGCACATGCAGATATGTCTACGGTAAGTTTTTGTTACATATATTACGGGGAAAATAAGATAAAGTTTGTTTTTTTATAGTGATTTTTACATATATTGGGGCTTTAATGTAGTCTGAACAATGTGTCTACAGTTTAAAAATAAGGTTGTAAGAGCAATGTGTCTACAGTCTAAAAAATAATGTTGTAAGAGCAATGTGTCTGCAGTCTAAAAATAATGCTTTGGAGCAATGTGTCTACAGTTTACAAATAAGGTTGTAAGAGCAATGTGTCTACAGTCTAAAATAATGTTGTCTGAACAATGTGTCTACAGTCTAAATTAAAGTTGTAGGAGCAATGTGTCTACAGTCTAAAAATAATGTTGTAGAAGCAGTGTGTCTACAGTCTAAAATAATGTTGTAGGAGAAATGTGTACAGTCTACAATTAATGTTGTAGGAGCAATGTGTTTACAGTCTGAAAATAATGTCACAGAAAAAATGAGTTAATGCTTAATTGGAAAGCCATGTCTCTGGAACAATCTGTCTTCAGTCTAGTTGAAAGCCATGTTGTGGTAACAATGTGTCTTCAATCTATTTGAAGGTCATTTTGTAGTATCAATGTGTCTTCAATCTATTTGAAGGTCATTTTGTAGTATCAATGTGTCTTCAGACTATTTGAAGGTCATTTTGTAGTATCAATGTATCTTCAATCTATTTGAAGGTAATTTTGTGGTATCAATGTGTCTTCAGTCTATTTGTAAGTTATTTCATAGTTATAACATGGGATCTCAATTAGAAATATTCAAGTTTTACATGTGCCATCAATGAAGCAGAAGACGCTTACTCTTCCTAAACACCTGGTCATATTTTCCTTGTACTTTTTCAGATGTCTCAATATAAATTTTGCTTTTCTTCTTATTCCGCCCTACTTTTATTGAATTTGAATTATGCTGACATGTTGGTATCTTTCTTGTTGTTTCCATAGAAATCTATAATAACAAATTTGTCGTCTAACAAGCTTCAAACAAAACATACTGACTATGGCCATCATATACACATGCCTAAACACAGGATCAACGATATGATAAGACTTGTTTACATCAGTCGCTCACCTAGCTCTTTTCCTAAAACGAAATCAACAGGCACTCCTTTTGACCATATCATATGACAAGTGTGAATTTTCCATTTCTTTTGAGAAACATCCATCCCAAATTATGATCTTTCCATGCTGCAATCATTTGATATACAAGGGCTTGTTCTTGATATCATGATTTTCGTGCAAAATGTTGACAACTGACAAATTCACAAGACAAATAATTGGGAGGTTATATGGTTGTCATAATGGCATTCTCAACCCCAATCAGCTGTCAAGCTTATTGCTAGACTGACAGGTTGGAACAAAGGGCAGTAACTCTGGAAGATCATAATGTCATAATCCTATCAGTGGGAAGTAATTAATTTCCTGATGTGATACGAAGTTGGACATGTTTGTTGCTTGTTTGTGTACCTCTTTGTTCCATTGTTAGGTATCTAGTTCTTTCAATGGAAACATGACATTACTTACTTGGATTAACTGAAATTTATGTGGCATGTGTCTCCATGTCAATCTTTCTTTATTCATATTTTGCCCTAGTTTTTATTTACATTGAGTATGATTCTGATGACTTGTTGGTTTTTCCATTGTTTTTGTTGTTGACTATGGAAGGCATAGTTACAAACTGTCTTCATTCTAATAGCAAATCTTCTCATAGGATAGTGCCTATTGTTGGATAGAACAATACATCGTTGGTTATATTTGCTCTCTTCCTCCATAACTTGAACATTATTTCAGACCTCAGAGTAGAGTGAATTATTATACTGTTAAACCGACATTAAAGTGAAATCTAGAAAGTGTATACAAGCATGCAGATTTTAGACTAGACTATATAAAGATGATGAGCTTACGGCTGCAGACACGGATGTGAGGGAACCACCTGTAGGGCGAGTATTGGATTACTAGGATCAGAAACAGTTGCTGGGTAACAACCTCCAGGAAATCCTCCACATCTACCTTCAAAAATCTGTCGCACACCTGTCATTAAAAATTGAAAAATTGCATCTGTTATGAAAATAAATTCAAAATTATACATCATATCAATATGGGAAAATGGACATCAGTAGAATGTTTGAAGTGCACTAACCTCAGAACATACAAGTACTTAACATTATTGTAAATGTCTGCCCATGTAATACTATACCCTTGCATTCAAAATTCTCATAATGAATTTTTGCAATTTGTGTATCTATTTATTTACCTATGTATTTATTCCTTCAATTGTCTTAATTGTGGGGGTTCGTGAATCTCCATGTATATATATTTGATGTTTTCCTTTCAGCAAATGATGATTTTCCACTCTTTAGAACCCCAGAATCACTAAAGAGCTGTATGACAATTTTATTTCCAGTGTACATTGTACTATTTTGTGCTGAAAAGTGGGGGTGGTTTTTTTTAGGGTTTCCCCACACAAACATGTACTTCTGTTGGTGAAGTAATCATGAAGTGGAGCCAGAAGGCTGTCAGTCAGGACCCTTGAAGCACTACATGGCCAACCAAGCACATGATCTTCCAAAATCCCGGACAGTAACTCTAATTACTCGAACTTCTCATTAAAGGGAAACAACTCATGATGTTACATTTACTACAGTTGGATTGAGAGGTAAATACCTTACCTGTTCCATACACTGATACTCTCCAAGTTCCTCCACATATTTCTTTTGAGTTTCCCCCACACGGACTGTTACAGTCAGATTCAGTAGCCAGTGAGTGGCGGTCGTGATTGTCTCCACAGAAGCATTGTGTTCGATACTGTATCAACAATATCAAGATTAAGTATAACAATTAAAAAATTTAAAAAGAGAAAAAAAATTTAGACAAGTTACTTCACTTCCTTTACCACTACAAATGTCTAAATATGTGTACGTGTCATAGCATACACACAGTTTTGCTTATTTTTCGAAGTATTGTTCTGAATGAAAATTATTCTTGGTTTTTTCCAAAGCAATCTTTGTTTGCAGAAAAAAATTTTTCTTGTTAAAATGCAAAAGAATGGTAATAAGAAAAATAACCAAAGATAATTTTTTTCAATATGATTTGACAGTCACAAATAAGTCCATAATTATGAAAAAAGCTTTTCTGATTTTCATCCTAATGTCATTTTGTAGTATAGTCAAGAGACAGACAAAAATATCTATTTTGAGGTTGGTCCTAAAATCCAGAAGAAATATCCACCATGTCAGTATTCATGTCTTTCAGATCTTTGGTGATAATTCATATAAAATTTTCTTACAGTACACAGGAACTAAATATACAGAAATATACAGAATCATATTATTTTGAAGCATTCCACTTTTTGAAAAATAAAGTTTAACTTTCATTACATAGGACATCAATACACAAAAGTCTATGATGTTGGAACTGGTTTGATATTGAATCATGCCCTACAGGAGTTTTATATATCCATAGTTACGTATCAAACTAAAAAGATTGAAACTGGAAGCAGAGAACAAAGTATATTGATATATCAATGAGATCCACTATTTAACCAATGTGTCTGTTTTTAATCAACAATCTATTTTGATTATCTGCTGCTTCGGTTGCCATGTAAACTAAACAAAACAATATTCAATAATCATGCAGTATTCATACCTGTGTACCAGCATACCAGAATCCAAGTGTCTTACAGTGCTGTATACATAGCTCTGTGGTCATGTGAGCATTATTCTCAAAGTGTCCTCCCATCAGTCTGTCGTCCGCGTCCACGAAACATCCAATGTAACCTCGTCAGCAAAGAATCACAAAAATTGTACTTTACATATCAATAATATATTCTCACAACTGTTTCTCCTTTACATAAAGGTTTGTAGACACCAGGATAAAGGTTTGTAGACACAAGGATAAAGGTTTGTAGACACTAGGATAAAGGTTTGTAGACACCAGGATAAAGGTTTGTAGACACTAGCATAAAGGTGTGAAGACACCAGCATAAAGGTTTGTAGACACTAGAATAAAGGTTTGTAGACACCAGGATAAAGGTTTGTAGACACTAGCATAAAGGTTTGTAGACACTAGCATAAAGGTTTGTATAAAGGTTTGTAGACACCAGGATAAAGGTTTGTAGACACTAGCATAAAGGTTTGTAGACACTAGCATAAAGGTTTGTAGACACTAGCATAAAGGTTTAAAGGTTTGTAGACACCAAGATAAAGGTTTGAAGACACTAGCATAAAGGTATGAAGACACCAGGATAAAGGTTTGTAGACACTAGAATAAAGGTTTGTAGACACTAGGATAAAGGTTTGTAGACACCAGGATAAAGGTTTGTAGACACCAGGATAAAGGTTTGTAGACACTAGAATAAAGGTTTGTAGACACCAGGATAAAGGTTTGTAGACACTAGAATAAAGGTTTGTAGACACCAGGATAAAGGTTTGTAGACACTAGAATAAAGGTTTGTAGACACCAGGATAAAGGTTTGTAGACACTAGCAAAAAGGTGTGAAGACACCAGCATAAAGGTTTGTAGACACTAGCATAAAGGTGTGAAGACACCAGGATAAAGGTTTGTAGACACTAGAATAAAGGTTTGTAGACACTAGGATAAAGGTTTGTAGACACCAGGATAAAGGTTTGTAGACACTAGCATAAAGGTGTGAAGACACCAGCATAAAGGTTTGTAGACACTAGAATAAAGGTTTGTAGACACCAGGATAAAGGTTTGTAGACACCAGGATAAAGGTTTGTAGACACTAGCATAAAGGTTTGTAGACACCAGGATAAAGGTTTGTAGACACCAAGATAAAGGTTTGTAGACACTAGCATAAAGGTGTGAAGACACCAGGATAAAGGTTTGTAGACACTAGGATAAAGGTTTGTAGACACCAGGATAAAGGTTTGTAGACACCAGGATAAAGGTTTGTAGACACTAGAATAAAGGTTTGTAGACACCAGGATAAAGGTTTGTAGACACTAGCATAAAGGTTTGTAGACACCAGGATAAAGGTTTGTAGACACTAGCATAAAGGTGTGAAGACACCAGCATAAAGGTTTGTAGACACTAGCATAAAGGTGTGTAGACAATAGCATAAAGTTTTGTCGACACTGTGAGATTGATGATACGAGTCTGTGAATTTTTCATCTTACTGAAAATTAGTGTTTGGGCAGATGAAATAAAAATATGGAGTTTGATAAATATCAGATGAAATGGAAATGAATGGAGGATTCTTTTAGCATATATTTTTTACACATTTGCAAACATTTGTGAAAACAGCTTTTTATAAGTTTGATCACTGATGTAGATTAAGATTCTATTTTCTATATGTTATGATTATGTTGATTGATATTTTATCTAAATATTTGGACATTTACAGGATATATCTCCTGTGATGTCACAACAGGAATAATGTAAAGCTTCAGCCAATCATAGTTCTGCTAAGTTACATTGTAGGAGATTAGTAACAAAAAGTAAATGTTGGATGTTCGTTTTGTGAAAGCGAGTATTCACCGAAATCCATTTAGGTTCCGAATTGTATTTAAAGGATAGAACATATAAGTACTCACTATTGTTTGTAACGTGTGCTACACCCTTTGCTGTGCTGCCTCCCACAAAATTTCCCTGCCATGTCCATTGTATGTTTTTGGCAATAGTGAATGGCGTTCCGACAAAATCAATTTTGAATGTGCCTCGTGGTGAACAGTTTGGAAAAGCAGAAAACTTGTCACTTGCGTCTCCGTACCTATTAAATTAAATACCAAACTGAGACAGAATATCACTACTATAAATAGACCATTAATTGCTAATGAAAAAGCAATTATTTTATTAATACATGGGATGATTAATCAAATTAATTGCCATTAATCTTCATTAAGAAAAACATTTTAATGACTATTATTTTTTTAATGCAATTAAAGGTGTACATAACTAATGAAAATTAATGACATCATTACTGACATGTTCATTACATTTTTTGTTCAGCATATTTGGGAGCACATCATTACATTTTGAAAACACATCATGAATTTAAGTTAACAAAAAGTAATTCCTTTTTATGACTATTTAATGATAAAGACAAAACTGTACATTGGAGTATATCTGTCAATATCACTTGCAAATGTGTTTTGATACACTAAGAACAGATTTTGAACCGTACATACATATGTACATGTACATTTAAAATGTTAATTCTATAAAGAAATTAATCAGGGCTCTCGATCTGCCAGATTTGGGGCCGATATTCGGAAAACACCATTATTTTTCCCAATTCTAAGGGCCCCGGGCCCCAGCCCCAAAATGGGGTGTGAAAGCCCTGTTAATAGAGATTTACAAGTCTTACTTATTTGTCTTTAACATGCAATTTATATCTCAAGCTCTAGCACTAGCTTAGCTCTAATAAAGAAATGAAATCTGATTTACTCAAATCTGTACAAACAAAAACTCAAATGTCTTAAAACAATAAGATGTTCCTCCGAAGTTTATATTGCAGTTCTAACATCATCTATCACAAAAAGCAATATTTTCAAGTGTTAAGTCATTCAAATAACTCCTCAGTTTTTCCGACATCTTCTTCACAAATTCCTTTTTCATATGAGGCAGTACCTGTATTTCCTAGATCTTACTGACAACAAGACACAAAACACTCTGATTCCACTGTTTCTGTACTACCAGTGGTAATCTCCTCTTCAAAGATGTATAATTTCATGTTAGCATTTAGTTGACAGTCCTTGTCGTTTACCTTGCATGCAGATCCACACAAGTTTTCTAACATTTCTTCTGCATATTTCGGACTTTCCTCACTTTCACTTTTTGTCATTCACATTCACAGAGTATGCATCCTCCTGCGTTTAAATAGTTTGGGTAAGTTTACCCTACATGGGCTGGTCAATGACTGAGAAAGTCCAAACGTTATCATTTTGTTGAAGGAGTGTCCATGTCTACAGTCACATTTTTCTAGAGGAGAATCACTTGCATGACCTGTGTTGTCAATCTGTTTTACAACTTTGCTCTTTGTTAGTCTTTTAGAAAAATATGTTATCAGAAATTTTGGGGGAACGTCCCCTAGACATCGTTCTATGTCTGGTTGGTCTCATTGCTTCCTTTCACTGGACAAATTCTACATTTCTGTCTTCAAAATGATCTGTGAAAAAAACAGGTTCATAACTAACTATGATTCACTTCCAAATATCATATTACCAGTTTTAGTTTTTTTAAGTACACAACATCTCCAGGATTAAATGCTGCTTTGACGTTCTCAATCTTTGATGATTTGCTCTCATTACTACTGATAGTACTTATGTCAGAGTCTGTTGAAGAATTTGATGTACCTGTACCGGTATTAACACTATTCTCAGATTCTGATTCCTGGATCCTTGAAGTCTGCATCAAATGGTCACAAGCAAGTTCTTTCACATACTTGCTTTTCCTCTTTCCTGTCAACTTGTCAAGAAGATACTTCCTCCTATTTTGAAGCTCTTTTAATCTAACCAAAATTTCTGATCTTGAACTCTTTAAGTTCTGGCACATTTCCATTTATTATGTTAAAAGATACATCTTTTTTCCTTTCAGGAATTTCAGTGATCGGCTTAGGATGATTCCAAATTTTTGCTGCACTCGAGCATCACGTAACAAACAGTCGAAATTTTTTTGTGCTGGAGAGCATTTCCTCAACACTACACTTTGCCGTTGGAGTATTCTGATTAAGATCTTGTGAACTTAAGCTAACTTCATTATTGTTGTCTGATACAGATTCACTATCATGATCAACTACCATGGACAAACAAATAATTTGCCTTGCTTTCCTTCTGTCAGAGAAATTCTTAAATAGATCCTGAATGTCCCCTTCAGTGAATGTGGACAAATCCTCCTTTGAAATATTGTTCTCTGGAAATGCAAATGAAATAAATCAACTGTTATGTCCTCCAAAAATATAAATTATTAAACATGTAATAATGTTCTGTAAACATGATTCAGTGAATGTGTAATTTTTGCCTTTTCATTGCAGTTTCCATGAAACATGAAAATCATGTCATGACTGATCGCTATTAAAAAGATCAATGAACAACTTGCTCAAGAAAGTGATACATTAGGCCTAGTTTGAAATGATTTCTAACATTTGTTTTCATTTTTGATAATAGCATAATTTAGTACTTTTGTTATGATTTAGGACTACTTCTTTTTCCCTTTGAAAACATTTTTTGGAATAGTTTTATTTTTGACTTGCAGTCATGAGGATTAAAATACTGCTTATATGTATAACAGACTGGTATCAAAGCATTCTAAATTTGGCTGTGAAATCCTGAAGTTGTCTATCTAGGCCTATCGATCAGGCAATGTGCACGCAATGGTTGGACATCGCTTGAAAAAATTATGAACGAATAACGAAAAAGGGAATTGATCGTAACCCAAACCAAAATGAATTAAACAAGGGCAAAATATGAACAAAATATACATCAATTTTTAAGGTAACTCCGAGGTCCCCGCCATTCATAATTTCAAATGAGACAACTTTCATCCATTTTCATTTGGATTGACATGTGTTCACCGACGCACAATCAAATTGTGTATGCCTGCTATATTTCTACAAAAAAACTTTACAATCGTTACCTTTCATAGCGTTTTGTCCTTTCTGTCGTAAATACATCCATTATCGGTACTGTAGTTCCTTTGTTCCTGGCGCGATTTCACTGCTCAAAACTCGCGGGCTCTGAATTTGAGCTGAATGCAAAAAGTTGTTGTGATTGGTTAATATTTCGGAACTCCTTGTCGAAAAGAAGAGTCCCGATAAGTTTTGATTATGTTTTATTTCGGTAATTGAAAATACCAAGAAGAAAAACAAGATGTCCGATCGTGCCAGAATCCAGCCGATCATTATGTCAAGATACGGACAACTCATGGTTGAATCGCCCTATAAAAGTTTCGACTTTTACATCGATTCGTCATCTGTGGATGGGACGACTTGTCCGCTGTCGTCGTCCCCACGTCAAAAACGGAATAAGTTGTAAACATCTACTATCTAAATATTTACTCTTTACGTGTGTTAAATTGCATTCACAACTGTCGCTATTCATGAACACTTACTAACAGTAATATGATACATTCCGACGTAATTAAGTGCCGATGCATGCCAACATAACCAGATTTTACGAAACATGAAAAAATACCTACTTGGTGGTTTTAAAGTGGAAGTACATTTCATAGAAATATTGATAACGCTTTTCTTCAAAATTACCCTAAAATATTTTTACCATAACTTTCATATGATTATAAGCGGAGTACAATATTAAACAAAAGTTTGAAGTGTAGTTTATTAATTTCTAGAATTATCAAAAAGTTTCCAAATTTGGGTAGCGTCATGTTATGCCCTATATAGAAAAAATACAAAGCACGTATGGATGCATTTAATTTCTGACTTCGTCTTAAGACACAAAGAGTTTGAGTATGAAATATTACATTGCAGACTTATCTAATTATAAAACTTTGATATTCAATAATAGTTGAACCAGGACACTGCAGATCCAGTAGCAAAACATAATCAGGATTATGAGCATAATGCAGATGTTAAAGAAGATCATACCTGTTCAAAAACCAGGTGATATTTTAACGATGCTAATTATAAAAAATAGTAAAGCTTATGTAAGCAATACACTAATATTTCTGTATGTGTATATATGTACAGGCTACAGCTCAATAATTATTGATGGACAATTGATTTGTATAATCTTGCCTGCAGCAGTTTCTGAAATAATTATACATTAAACATACATACCCTCAGGCCTCACACCCACTCACTCCCTCTTATAATTATCCTGGTTAAGCAAAGCATTAGAAATGGTTATACATGTGTAACCCTGGTAACTACTAGCCGCAAAATACTGCTCAGCTAAAGAGAATTTCTCTTTAGTTTGATTGGTTGAACATCAGACTAGTAAGCCAGGGGCCCCGTGTTCGATTCCTAGGGAAGGCATTGAAATTCATAATGACCTCAGTTACACATGTTTTGGTGGTGTATATTGTTTCATAAATATTTCATGTCGTGATGCATGATCATTTAACTTCCACAATTTTCATCATTGTAATTGCGGTGGCTGCACAATTGACAGTTCAGAAGCAGATTGTGCTATGGACAATCTGGAAAAATCCAGTGCAGTACATGAGACTTACACACTTATCAAGGAAGAAATCTTATCCAATAGATTTGATTATACTGGTTCAGACCGTCCATCAGCAGTATTTAATAAAGAGGAATCTGATTATAAAGAATATGGAGTGACAAATGCAGTTCAGGAATCACTAGAGTCAATGCAATATAATAAAAGTGTATAGAAAGATGGAATAGCCATTGAAAAATGCCCAGTTATACAAGTATAACCATTCAACAGTGGCTAGCAATGAAGTTCCACTTGTTTTCATTTCATCCATCCACAGGCACAATTTTCCAATGAACTAAGGATGGATAGTTTTCTGAACTTGGGTAATATCACTGGTGAAAGAGGCTGTTCTAGCTATAAGATTCAGTTTCTTACAAGGATGAAAGACGAATGATTAAACTCTTTGTGTGTCCAAAGTAAATATATAATGTTTGCCAAAATGACTACTTGTTTTTACTGATGGTGAAAAGGGACAGCAGTGTGCAGTGTGCAATTCAATAAAGAAAAAACAGTTCATTTATCTCCCTTTAGGACCCCATCTCCCAGATACATTTATCTCCCTTTAGGACACCGTCTTGCCAGATACATTTATCTCCCTTTAGGAACTCTCCCAAATACATTTATCTCTCTTAAGGAACCCCATTTCCCACATACATTTATCTCCCCTTTAGAACCCCATCTCCAAGATACATTTATCTCCCTTTAGGACCCCATTTCCCACATACATTTATCTCCCTTTTAGGACCCAATCTCCCAGATACATTTATCTCCCTTTAGGAACCCATCTCCAAAATACATTTATCTCCCTTTAGGACCCAATCTCCCAGATACATTTTTCTCCCTTTAGGACCCATCTCCAAGATACATTTATCTCCCTTTAGGACCCCATCTCCAAGATACATTTATCTCCCTTTAGGACCCAATCTCCCAGATACATTTATCTCCCTTTAGGACCCCATCTCCAAGATACATTTATCTCCCTTTAGGACCCCATCTCCCAGATACATTTATCTCCCTTTAGGACCACTTCTCGCCAGATATTTTGGAAAAGAAAGCCTAGCAAAGTTAGTACAAATTCATCCACGAGACACTTGCCAATGCATGCACTCTGATATGTGGGATGTTCATGATTTTCCGTTGTGGAAAGCTGTGTATTCTCGTAATGGTCATTTTGAAGGACGGAGGAACGGGACATGCAACAAAGGTGTACTGTATTCAATGACACTAATGATTGATGTATACACTTCTTAATTTGCCGCGGAAAACGAGGAATGACTTTGGAAATATTCTACTTGTTGGAATGATTCCAGGAAGTGGTAAGGCTGAAGCATCAAAGTTTGACCCAAACCTTGACATTTTAGTTGATGAATTACTGCGTTTTACCGATTAAAAACCTATGACAGTTATTTGAATGCTCATGTGCAAGTGAAAACCAAGTAATTAAATGTATTTTTTAGATTATCCAGAATTATCAAAATTGTTCAACCTGCAAGGAAGTGGAGGAATTTCTGCATGTCATTGGTGTCATGCAAGGGGAGAATATTACTTTATATTGAAGAAGGTAATATATCCATGTAACCATCATTACCAAGCTTAAAAGTATAGATTTCCACGACTCAGAGATGAGAAAATGTGACAAATCTTCTACATGGATAAACAAATCCATGATTGCTAGTGCAACATGCAAAGGGGCATATACTTTGAAAAGACTAACAGCAAATTATCGCATAGATGAAACACAACCTGACGCATGCCATACAGTTAAAGATGTTACACAGTCTGTTATGATCATCAACAAAGGGATGAACTTGTCCGAGATAGTCGGAAGAGTAACGTGGCCGCCCAGTAATTGACGATAAAGTCGATGATAGATGTTATGCCTTTAAACAGTCATACAAGCAGAAGAGCAGTACATCTACTGAAAAACATGCAAGAGCAATCTACAGGTTTGTGATGACAGAAAATGAAATGAAAGTAGCTGATGAAAGAGCAACAAGTATTCGACCTCCTTTGGATTTTGGAGTTGAATATGCACTTTTCATCAGAAAAAATAGCAGTTCTCTGAAGTCACATGACTGGAAGCAATTAGCATGTCATGGAATTCTTAAGTTTTTTTTAAAGAGGATGCCTTGCAGTTGAATGTAGGGAAAGGTTTTTTCAAGTCACTGGATGCTTTGACAACATTATGTTAGGAGCATCAGTTGTTAGATAAGCTCCACCCCCAAAACAATCTTGTGTGTTTCCGGTCTCCCGACCAACTCTAATATTTCGCCGCAGAGTCAAAAGTTTTTATAACTTCCACCAGCATTTTTCCGGGATTTCGGATTTTCCTCCGATGCCTGTTTTGGTTTTTATACGAGGAACTGTAAATAATTG